AGGGAGGGCCATCTGATATGGAGGGCCATCTGATAGGGAGGGCCATCTGATAGGGAGGGCCATCTGATATGGAGGGCCATGTGATATGGAGGGCCGTCTGATAAGGCCATCTTATAGGGAGGGCCATCTGATAGGTAGAGCAATCTGATAGGGAGGCCATCTGATAAGGAGGGCCATCTGATAGGTAGGGCCATCTGATAAAAGTTCATCTAATATGACGTGTTGTAGACCTACTTCACCTGAACTCAACAGAGAAAGGCTAAAAGATCATCAACGCAATAATTTATGCGCACTTCCGTCCAATAACCAGGAAACTATCGGGGACGATTAATCAACTCTATCGTCAACCCCGTCATTTAGATATTTCTAGTTGGTTAAAGAACATGTTGTTCATTATCTGTATCATCGGATGATTTTTATAGTAAACTTTGTTTCTATTGACAAACGTTTTAAATTATGCCTTTTTCGGGCTTCGAACTTTCTGCATTGGGTACGTTTCGAACTACGAACATAGTACGATGTCTGATCTTTTCAAACTTTACAAAATCGAGGCTAATTGTAGTTTAAAGAAAAACTTTTCCATCTTTCCAAAGCCTAGTTTAAATTTTTGATACTTTTAATTCAGTATTCTACCTAACTCTGACGAAGACATACAGTTGAAACGTTTTCATGGGTTCTGTTGTTGATCGTGTGTGTTTTTTCAACTCCAACAGTCTCTAGAAGTCTTGAGGTCATTGAACTCCATCTCTGCAGGTGCTAGTACCCGCTAAGGCGGTTATTTTTGTTGAAGGTGTTACGAGCTTTAAAACTAATGTAATCGGCTTACTGTTTGTTAAGCTGGAAAACATAGCAAAAAATAGCTTCAAGTCTTTTTTAAGGGTTTTTAAGCTGTGATGTGATGTGTATAAAGGTGTGTATGTGGGATGGAGTGATGCGTATGTGAGTGTGTGAGTGTATACATCTTTACGTTTCTATTGCAAGTCAGTGTCCAGACCAGGTGTGTTGATGAATATGAGTAAACGAGGGAAGCGACTGGTCGAGTGATAGCGTGTGAGTTGTGAGCGGAAGTCAGGCGGTGTGTAGGGTGGAGGTGGGCGGCTGTCAGATGTTGCGAGTAGCACAAGGAGGGAGCATGGCATCAACGTTGTGACTTGGACCAGAGAAACAGGTTATTTTAAACCAACAGGTAGCACCCTAACATAAACGACTTGTGGTGGTCTTTATCTATTTGCGTTGTTAAGAAGCCCCCCCCCCCCACTCCGCTCACACTATGTTAGGTAGCTTTTTCCTTACAAATAATAACAAGTTTCTTTGAAAGTTGAATATGACGCTTCTTGGTAGACCATGGTGAGTGCGAGCTTATGTTATACAAGGGGGAAAATCGAGAGTCCAAATTATTTGTATTGGAGTCCTCACTTACATTAATGGGATGGAGAGTCACATGACTCGTCGTAATTGTAAACATGGAGGAAAGTGACATGACTCCCGTCACTGACGACAATGTGAAGATTAGCGTGACTCCAATCAATGACTGACGCGTGACAATCGATGACAAGATGTAGACTCTATGACTCCAATCAATTGGTTTAAAAGTTAACAGAAAAGGTCGCTGAAGTTCTGAAGAAATAAATCTGTGACGCTTTTCCACACCCATTAATTTTCGGCGTGAAAGCTATTTTCTGAAAAAGTCACCCCCCCCCCCTTTTCCCCCAATCCAACATGCCAGATAAAAACGGCTGGAAATAGCCAACAAAACACCGGCGCGAGTCAAGTACCCAGGTGGCAACTTTATAGCCTCGTCTATTTCCGGTGACTTCCGGCCCGCCCTTCTGCGGCTGCGCGGCCGTCCCAGATCAATAACTCATCCATAACATGGGCGGGTGGGGTGGGGGGGGGGGGGGCAGATTGCGTTTGGCTACGGTTTAATTATTGAGCTGTGAATTGCAAAGTTGAATGACCACAAGACTAATGTAAGCAAACAAGAGAAATCAATCCCACTTCCGCTTATGATATCTGCTTGAACAATCTCTAAAAAATCGATTGTTAGTTCCTTCATGTATACACTATAATATATATATATATATATATATATATATATATATATATATATATATATATATATATATATATATATATATATATATATATATTGGATTCTGGATATTACTCCCTCCCGTCAATTACCCCTCCCTCGGACTCCACTCCACATCGATTAACCCCCCCCCCCCCCCCATCCTGAAGAACCCTAACGCCAAACCCCAACCACAAACCTATTGCTAACCCAAATTCCAAGATCAATTCTAATAACTATAAACCTATCTAACCCTAACCTAACACTCACCCTAACCCTATCCCTAACTAGGCGGGGTAATTGGCATGGGGGTATTGACGAGGGGGGGGGGTTGATTTCTCTGTGGGGTAATGTCGGGGGGACGCCTGGGGGTAACTGACGGAAGGGGGGGGGTAGTAATTCCTGCTCCCATATTTATGTATATAAAATCTCTGATTGTCCTATTCACAACAGAATCATACAGCAGTGCTAGCTACCACAACTAGGTAGACGACGGTCAACAATCTGGTGTAAGACCATTACTGAAGGAATACGCCTCGCTCGTCACACCAAATAAGTGTGACGTCCTTCACTGCACTTCACACATACATGTCGTTTCACCCAGTCCCACAGTGAGTTATGTGAGTCAGTGAGTTATGTGAGTCAGTACGTTATGTGAGTCAGTGAGTTATGTGAGTCAGTGAGTTATGTGAGTCAGTGAGTTATGTGAGTTATGTGAGTTATGTGAGTCAGTACGTTATGTGAGTCAGTGAGTTATGTGAGTCAGTGAGTTATGTGAGTCAGTGAGTTATGTGAGTTATGTGAGTTATGTGAGTCAGTGAGTTATGTGAGTCAGTGAGTTATGTGAGTCAGTGAGTTATGTGAGTCAGTGAGTTATGTGAGTCAGTGAGTTATATGAGTCAGTGAGCTATGTGAGTCAGTGAGTTATGTGAGTCATGTGAGTCAGTGAGTTATGTGAGTCAGTGAGTTATGTGAGTCATGTGAGTCAGTGAGTTATGTGAGTCAGTGAGTTATGTGAGTCATGTGAGTCAGTGAGTTATGTGAGTCAGTGAGTTATGTGAGTCATGTGAGTCAGTGAGTTATTTGAGTCAGTGAGTCAGTGAGTCAGTGAGTTATACCACAGACACTTTGAGACAGTCGCTCATGTCCAGTACAACAAACCCATTTGGTCAATATTGATGAGCTAAAACGCTGTGAATGACAGAGATGAACTTTATCACGAGTTCATCTCTTGCTTTGTTCACAGCCCGTAATGTGATGTAAGCAGTGGCGTCCTAAGGTCAACCTAGGTCATCTAAGGTCATGCCGTGTCGTCGGGTGCGGTCAATCAGGGTATCGCCACCTACTTTCCACAAAAAGCTTACATTTTTGCTTTTGTGTAAATCTGGCTCAACTACTCATTTTATAATAATAGTATTATGAATACTAGAATACAAAGTTTTGCAAATAATTTTGGCGATTTTTTTATCTGGTTTCACTCTCTTCATGGTGTCCTAAATGGTGTCACCGGTGTGGACAGCACCACTACCCCCCCCCCCCCGCTCTTCCCTGTGACGTTATTCTTGTCAGCACAATACCTAGATTTACTTTCCCCCGACTCTCATGTTCCCATCAGAGCTGGATGGACTCAGAGACAGGCTACATGAAGGTACCGATTAGGGCTGGGTGGACTCAGAGACGCGTTACATCCAGGTACCCATCAGAGCTGTGTGGACTCAGAGACGCGTTACATCCAAGTACCGATTAGAGCTTTGTGAACTCAGGGACAGGCTACAGTCATGTACCCATCAGAGCTGGTGGACTCGGGAAGTGATAAGCCAGGTACTTAACAGAGCTGGGTGGAGTGTATAAGCCATGACTAATGGATTTCTAAAAACCTAGCCAGGAACCGCACATTATAATCATACACAACTAAGACAACGTTGATGTATATAAAAAATGATCACTGCTTTACACATGAAATTTACAATACGATTTAAATACTGCAAGATCACACGTTAATTTAGAGCCAATTTATTGCAGTAAAAAATGTCTTGAAACAACACCAAAGCCAAAACAGAGGAGCCTCTTTGTGAGCAGGTGTAGCCTCCATTTTCTAACGCGGCATCAAGGAAGCGCTAACAGTGGGGATAGGATGGTATACAAACAATAAACTTAACACAGATGCTCATACAAGAATTATTGTCGTGGAACGTTTTTTATATCATTAAACTAATCAAACTAATCTACGTTGCCTTATTAAAAAAAAATAAGAAAAAAATATTTTCTTTTACTTAGTGAAGTATGAACCCCATATTGGTGGTCTCAGTAAATAAATTTCAATGTTTGATCACATGTAATCAATTTGAACTTTTAAAATGTTCGTAAAATATTTGCAACTACCACCCACCATAAAACATAAAGTACTTTTTCACAACAACAAGCAGTCTGGGAGGGGGGTAAAAGCATTAAATTGATAAATAAAATGTTACAATTATTACGATAATTGATAGATCATCCAAACTGTACATGAAAGAACGTCTTTAAATTCTTTAAATTAAATACAACAAATGTTCACATATGTACATCATCAATTCAATAAATTATTATTTTGATTATTTTTTTCATAAGTTCTGGCATAGTTATATGTACATTGAATTAAAAAGAATGAAACGACGTTTGCAAATGTGAAACATTTAGAACATTTATATTCATTGCTGTCCTGTATGTTGCCACACCCTACTTTGGTCAAAATATTTGCCACGCCCCAATGTTGTCAGCATAAAAACCACACCTCCTCAGGAAAAGAACCACACCCTAATGTTGTCATTTTTTATGTCCACGCCACACTTTTATCACTAAATACTTGGGGAAAAACACCCATAATTGTTATCATTTTAGTCACGCCTCGCTTTTTAAAAACAAGTCAAACCACGCCTACTCTCAGCTGTCAGCACTCTAACCACGCCCCTCTAACAACCGGAGGCACGTTGAGGGTCTCGATCCCTTCGATAGAACCGCACGACACCCGGGGCGACTCCTCCCTCAGCTGTTTCCCGTTCAAGTCCGTCTCCTGACCCTGCAGCCCCAGCCCTTTCTCCAGACGCCTCAACGTCTTCACAAACCCTGAGTTCAGCTTCACCTGCGGCCTGTTCGCCCTGACGACATTCAAAGCGTCCCTGTACGGCATGTGGAACGTCTGCATCAAATGTTGGATGACGGCTGCCGGGGCGCGAGATTTCCCCATGTAGGAGAAGACGAGCACATGACGCCCCATTTTTCGGGCGCCGTTTATAAAAGCGTTGATCTCCCCGAAGTATTGTTCCAAATTCTCCCATTCGATATCGTCGACGCCGATGTTGAGTTTAGAACGGAAGTGAGTTTTGTTGACGCATGCGCATGGGCAGTCGGATTTTTTATGTGGCGGGACAGAGGACGGGTTCGTGTTTGTCATGTCTATCAAAGAGGAAATCCCGTACTTGCAGAGGAGGGGTTCGTTATAAGCGGCTTCAATGCTGCCTAAAAATAGATAGTCAGTGACGGCAATCATGACGTTGCTGTTTGACGTAAGACTAGAGGCTAAAGACGAAGAGAGAGATTTCGTAGAGCAGTTCCCGTCCGACGAGGCTTTAGCGAGAAGCTGCGGTGAAGGATTCGTTTTGGTGAACGTGTCTGAGTTGCTCTTGACCAGCGCGCGTTTGTTTTTATGCGTCATTTCCGCCGTGAGGAATGAGGAGCGGCTGCCCAGGAGGGCGTGCACCACGTCGTTGTCGTCTGCGCTCTCGGAGGAGTCGTTGGATGCGGTGGTGATGATTGTGGGAGCGCGGTAGGGTATCGGGGGGATTAGCGGCGAGTGCAGGGATTTTCTACGGAATTGCGTGGGGGATTTTCTAATTGGGGGATTCCCCGTGGAGAAAAGTCCAGAGTTCATAACGATAGGGATGTGTTGGATTTTTGTGTCTTCGTTCGTGACTTTGACGTTCTCATGGTCGTGGATGAAGAAAAGGTCATCGGGGGAGGTAATACTGGACGGCGATGGCGCTCGTTTGTCGTTCCTTCTCCAACTCGGGTCAGGGTTCAAGCTGACGCGAGATCTCGCGGGAAAATCCTCCACCGCGTCGCTGCAAAAACTGGGGCAGGAGTTGTGGAGCGAGATTTGCATGACGTCACAGTGGACGGCGAACTCGGAGGAGATGTCCCCGGCGCCGCCTTCGGCTCCGATTTCCGGTGTCGGATTCCGACGCTGCGTCCCGCCCGCGGCCGTTTTCCGTTTGGTTTTCTCTCGTTTTAAGCTGAACATGTCCTGAATGTGGGATCTACTTTTGCTGATCATGTTCTGGAAAAAATCGGTCACCGAATTCTGTCTTCGAATAGTCTTGTGCTGGACGGCCTCCGTAGGTGGGTTAAGAATAGTTTGATCAAACGATTTGTTAAACCAGGATTTGCTTGATCCCAGTTTGAACTTTGACCTGCCGCTTTCACAATTCCGGCTGGTGATTTCCTCATTTTTGCTGTTGATAATATCATTAATGGAATAACGGTCTTCCATAGCTGACGCCAGCGGCGCGGTTCCGTTTATTCCAGTTGCGCGCTGAGCGTTCCTGTTGGCTATTTGCACGAAGTGTTCCTGTGTTGGCGAGTACGTGGGTAGCTCTAGGTCATCCAGTTGACCGGCCTGGTGGAAGCTGTTCTGCACTTGCAGGTCTTGTAGAATGACCATGACAGCTAACGTGAGCACAACACGACTTGGTATCTGGAGAGAGAATTGTATTAATTAATTAATGATTAATTAGAATTTTCCGAAAACTACAAACCGGCATATGATATTAAAGAAAGTGTACTTTCAAGTCTAACAGCCCAGTGGGGAAGATGAAGTAGAGTTAATCTACTAATGCGACCTCGGATTTGAAATGATTTTGTGTTATGCAGTATTTATTAGTTGGTTTTTTTTTCTCCAATTTGAGCCAGGTACCTATAAAGGCTGGGAGGACTCAGTAAAGTGTTAACAAAGTGCGCTCTATTAGCCCGACACACCGCTTCATAAATCATCTTAGAGGTTCAATATTGCATGTGTGGCCGTACAATTGTTAATCTGGGATACTGGGTTCGAATCCCCACCAGACAGTACAAGATAATCAACGAATGGCTTGTGTACTAAGCTGCACTTGGCGCATTAAGATGGAAGGGCGACAACTCCAACTGGCTTCTTATATAGCGTTCACATTTTTTTAAATACAATTTACAACACAGTGTTTTATAAATAATCAAATTTCGAAAATCAATAAAAAGATTAATTTTACTTTTGAAACAAAACTGTTGTTGCTTTGTATTTGAAAACCCAAAAGGCTTTTATTTTTAAATTTAAATTTAATCTTTAAAAACATTACTAAAAAAACTAGGAATCTATCTTTTATTATAAAAATTGCTTATCTAGCCTAATAGGTTGGGTATTACTATTAAGATGGCTTAATTTCATGTCATTACATTTGAATTTTTTAGTAACATAAAAAAAAAATACATTTGAATTTTTTAAATGGTGGTCGAGCTCATTATTGTATATTACACACGCAATTGTTCAACACGCTGAAACAATCTCAAAACTACACGCATCAGTTTTAGATTTTTTTCAAAGAGTTACAAAACACGCTTCGTTTTCCAAATAAACACAAACATTTATGAATCTTTACAATAAACATTACGACGCTACATTCCACTTAGTTAACTATAGTTTTCTTATTTACCTTTACATTAATTATCCTCACAAGAAATTTTTTTAACAGTGATCACAGTTTCTGAACATTCACTCTGGTTACATCAGTCAGACGCTGTACTGTCGAATGAACGTCTGATTTGGTTTAGTTATGAAAACGTCGTTGTCTTTTCTTGTTACTTAACAAATCGATACATTTTATTTTTCACTCGCAATCTACTCGCGTACAGTGACAAGAGTTCGTCACGCGCCCGGGCAAATGTCACACGGCCTCCGATGTCATCACAACTGTCATCGAGCGCGCGGGTTCTGCGCTGCGTGATTACATCCCCTAGAGGGCGAGAGCGGAAGGTACGTCACAGCGCGCGCCAGTCGCGAGCAGCTCTTTATAGCTTGACGCGAGGTAAATAGAGCAGAAATCTCAGCCGCGCTCATTGATCCAATCATTATAATTAGAAACACGCGCGGCTTAAAATAGAACTGTCGCACCGTGACGTCATTTTACCCAAAGCGTCACTGACCGACGTTGCGTTCTCTGACGTAGGTATTACAGCATGGATAATAAAACGTTCCTTTTTTAGAATGCACATCTGTTTAATTAGGATAAGCAGTTAAATGAATAGTTTAACGAAATATAGGCTACAATGCCCGTGTGACATTAGAATAGTTATTTTGGTTTAAATATAAACAAACAAAGAGCATCTGACGTCATTGGAAAAAAAATCAAATTTCAAATTTAGCTTGGCTATACATTTCAATAATTGCTTCACAATTTTAAAACGCCTCTAGCCCTAAAGATATCTGAGCTTGTTCTATTTATAAAACAGTTTCTAAAAATAGATATGTCACCATATTTAGAACAAACGTTTGTTCTTTATTTTGCTTTAGGAATTTGTAACTTTGACAAATTTAGATTCAGCTTTATTTTATTTATTCTTTGTTGTATTGTATTAAGCAGATAAAAATGTTAATTTTTAAGTATGCGTATGATACTATTTGTTTCGTCTGTGTTCAAAATAGTATTTGGAGTTTTTATTATCCTTTGTTTGGATATTTTATTTTTCTGACCCTATATTTGGATATTTTATTTTCGTGAAGCTTTGTTTGGGGATTTTATATTTGTGATCTTTGTGTGTTTCTGGGGGGTGTGAGTGGGGGGGGGGGGGGGTAGCCTATTTTTTGTTACATTTTTGAAATAGTATTTGGAGTTTTTATGATCCTTTGCTTGGATATTTTTTTTAATCTTTCTGTGTGTGTGTGTTTGTGTTGGGAGGCGGGGGGGGATGTAGCCTATTTTTGTAAATTTGTGAGTGGGATTATGGTTCTTGTGTCTTTTAAAGATAGTACTTTTGTGTTCTTGTTATATTGGGTTTGTGTTACTGTGTTATTTTGGTTATTTGTGTGAGTGTTTTGTGTTCTTTATTATTTTTGTGTGTGTGTGTTATTTGTACACTATACTTTCACTTTCACAGTGAACCATCAGATTCGAAAAAGGAATTTTTTTTTTTTACTTATGAGTTATTTGTTCTTTTTTTTTTGTTTTGCTTTTGCATGCTTGGTACGTGGGGTGATGTGACGATCATGACCACGAAAGTAAAGGATCAGCAATATGCCCGGCCGCCTTTACTTTTCCCCAACATGAACAAGGTACCCATATGAGCTGGGTAGACTCATGAGGTTCTACTGACTTGGACCCGGATTCAAACTCGAGACTTTCGGGTTAGCAGCATATCCCTCTACCTCTTAAACCAGGCCGTCCCACGCCACGGCCACTACATAACCCTCAATGATTGACAACGTAACATCAGCAATGCCACCAAACAAACCAAGACAAAACGATACCGGACCTCCAGAATCCCCCAAGATTACGAACAGTGCAACAGACAATTAATTTAGCTGTTTAGTGTATCGATTGATTTCAACAATCCCCTCCCACGATCCAACCTCCCCCCCCCCCCTCACCCCAACCCCCATCTCCTCCTAGACATTGTTCTAAAGTACAATCGACCAGATCAATGTCTAATGCTGCACCCCATCGGTGGTGAGTGTTGACTTTTGTCTCGGTGCTATTAGTCGTGCCATTAGACGCTTTCAATGTCGCCGTCACGCCCACTCTACGTACTCACTCCCCCACAAGCGCACTCCCCCACACATGCCAAATTTAACATGTACACTGAATCACACACACCTTAAAGATAAAAAGCATGCTCACCTATCCCAACACATACTGCCACTCCCAACCACACATATCCCCCCACACATTTTACCACACCCGTACACACATACTCCCTATACACACAAATCTCCACACACATATTGCCACACCCTCAACACATATTCCTTATACACCCATATCCCCCCCACACATTTTACCACACCCGTACACACATACTCCCTATACACACAAATCTCCCCACACATATTGCCACACCCTCCTCACATATTCCCTATACACACATATCCCCCCACACATTTTACCACACCAGTACACACATACTCCCCATACACACAAATCTCCCCCACACATTGCCACACCCTCAACACATATTCTCTATACATACATATTCACCACACATACTGCCACACACACACCCATACATACTCCCTATATATACATATCCACCCCCCACACACACACATTATTATCTACCACTCACAACCCCACCACCACCCACCACCCACCACCGCAGCGACCAATACTACACTGAACCAATCTATTCACGTTTGTGTTCTCTTCGTTAAACTTAATTAAAACATCGACTCTATTCTACCATAAATATACCATTGTATTTTGTTTTAGTGAACTTAGTGAGTTCTTCTCCCCTCCCCCTCCCGAACAGTTGGTAAATTTATTCTTTTATTTTAAAAATATTGCTCTTAATATACAAAGTTATATCGGCGTCGTTAGGGGTCATCCATAAATGACGTCACGCTTTTTTTGACGATTTTACCTCCCCCCTCCCCTCCGTCACACGTCGTCACAAAAAGCCACACCCCCCCCCCTAAAATGACGTCACACCTTAGCCTACAACCCCCCTCAAAATTGCAGTTGAATTTTTTTTTTAAACATCGATTTTTTTCAATAATCTTGTCTGAACTCTGTCAAAATAAAGTATTTTAATCAATTCCTATTACAATTTATTAAAACCGTTTTCTAAAACGCGAAATAACGTCTAAAATTCGTTTTCTAACATTGTTTTTTTTACAATGCAAAAGTGTGATATCGCACCATCTTAACCCCTCCCCCCCCCTCCCCCCCTCCCCCTTATCACACACCGTCACAAAATTACGAACCCCCCCCCCCCTCCCCCCTACGAGTGTGACGTCATTTATGGACGACCCCAAATACAATTTGAAAAGTGACACAATAGGGACAAAACAGGATGGTAACGACATACAAGGGACAAATCAGGATGGTACAGGACCATCATGATGGGAGATCATGACGTTGATGATAATGATGATAACAAAGACGAAGTAGCAGAAGTGGCAGCTGCTAACGAGGCTGGTTTATAGCCACCGTTGATGATGACCCCGGCTGTACAATGCCAACACCGCCTCTAGGACAGTGATGACGTCAAAATCTATTTAAATATTAACCGCGGCAATCAGTCACTGACGTCATGCGCTATTTATAAATCACTGACCAATCGGCGACTTCTCTGCGTCGGACAGGACCAAAATAATTGTACTTTGCTGTTGTCTAGTTGTACAGCTATCCCACAATGCCTATATGTCACTGGTCGTATGGCTAGATCTGGGCTAATTAAGGGCAATGTACCAACAGACGTTTCTCTATGCCATAGCACAGCAAATGTGGGTGAGGTTGGTGCGGGTTGCACTATTGGGCGACAAGGGTGGAGGGGGGGGGGTATCAAATTTAACAGTCTATTTGACAATTAGAATTTTCTTACAATAATCAGTCCTCAAACAACAGTTTTACTCAATTTTTCACGAAAACGAAGGCGAATCCCTGAAATTAACACTAAACATAAACCCTGAGAAAAGGAAAGATAAATGGAAAATTATCATTAGCATAAAAACTAAAACAGACATTAATCATCCATCCATAACTATAGCACTGATTATAAAATATATTGTCAAAAAATTAACGTTGAACCCTGATTAAAAGCTAAAATATAGGATCGTCCACGTGTATAGTATGGCAATATTGATTTACCTCCCATGATAATTCATTAGTAAAATAAATATTGAGCAAGGGACACAATTTATGGTTTCATTTCTTAACTAAAAACAAAATTGCAAACGATTGTGATACGTTGATAATGGTTTAAAAGTTTAAGTCAATACACTGCTTAAAAAATATCTGGTCAATATTTGACTAAAAACAATTATTATTTTTAAATAAATTTAAAAGCTTACTTTTTATCCCATATACACATGCTTTAACTGTCCTTCATTACGCTTTAGTAATATTTTATGCATACCCCTAGAAACATTAATTTGTAAATGTATCATTCTCGTTTTAATTAACATTTTTTTTTTTTGCACAGGTAAAATGCAAAAAAAAAATTATATAATAATTTAAAAAAGATCATTTTTTGCCTTTATAGGCCTTTACATTAACATCATTTTTTTTGCCTTTATACACCTATATATAGACATATTATTTTTTGCCTTTATCCACCTTTATATTAACAGATCATTTTTTGCCTTGATCCACCTTTATCATTTTTTGCCTGTATCCACCTTTATCATTTTTTGCCTGTATCCACCTTTATATTAACAGATCATTTTTGCCTTTATCCACCTTTATATTAACAGATCATTTTTTGCCTTTATCCACCTTTTTTTAAACAGAATACAGATCATTTGCTTGTTTTTGTCCACTTTTATATTAACAGATCATTTGCTTATGTCTTTGTATTTTAATCATCTCCTGTATTTTATGACCATATTAATTGTTGATACAGCCACTCGTCTGTTTCGGAGCATAAAATCAATGTCCGTGAGGTTAAAATGTCAAAAGATATATTTTTTTCCACCTAACGCGCTTGTTTTGCGCACTTTCTGATTTTTGTTTTCAATCTCAAATCGATGAAACGGAAATATTGCGCAAGCGACAAGTTTTCTTCGGCCTCGATTTGAACGTATCAATCAATGTATTTTTAGTTCAATCACCAAGCCTCGACCCGAATAATTACAGTCCAGTGGATCATGAAATGTATAGCCTCGAGAGTAAATGTGGGAACAGATTTAGACTTTTTGCGCAATTTCAAAAACAAATTACCGTTATAAAAAATTTGACGGTTGAGTTGCGTCGTTAAATAATTTAAAAAAACATGGATGAGATGAATTGCCTCAAAACGATGCGGAGATCATAATTTTATAAAGCGACTTAAAAAATTACCTATTCTGTGTTTTGCTACTTTTTTTTTCACTACTTCGTTTCATTAAAACCTTTTGAAAATATCGCAAGGCTATCTTTTATGGGTAGAAATTCTACAAAATCCCAACAAGACTATAGGGTCACTGTGCCTATCCTACCCTAACTACATACACACATATATGAGGACCAGGGTTTCTTTCAGACATTTTTCTCGGGAGAGGGGGGTCGGTTGAAACTTCCGGGGTGCACTTGAAAATTTCCGGGTGGGGTGGGGGCAGTGGCGTCGCTTGATCGGGTGTCACCCGGTCGGCACTTCATGGTCTCACCCCCCACACCAAAGGAAAAAAGTATATATACATTGTGTGTGTGTGTGTGTTTGGGTGTGAATGTATAGTCAAGATGGTCAATGTGTACTTATAAGACTTTTAACTCTAATTTTTTATTCATTAACTGAACTCAAAAGCAGAGGCGTAGCAACCCCATCCCGGCGCCCGGGGACAAACTTTCGATTTGCACCCCCCCTCGAACTTTTCATTTGCACCCAACCCCCCTCAAACTTTCAATTTGGCGCCCCCCCCCCCTTAGGTCGGCGCCCAGGGACATATGTGTCCGTCCCCCCCGCCCCCCCCCCTCGCTACGCCTCTGCGCAAAAGGCATTTTACTTCAATATATTTGGCAAATTTTTTGTCGTGGTGTCACCCCCCCCCCCTAAATAGTGTCACACGAAAACTGTTAAAATATATATGTTAGAAATAAAGTATACTTTTTTCGTCGGGGGTTGACGTGCTGTGAAAAGTGTCCCTTCCCCCACCCCACCCCTTTCCACGCCCACCCTGGCAGAGATTCATGAAAAAAAAACTGAATTAAAGACGAACAGGTATTTCAACATTTGTAATCCAATATAACCCCCTCACTTTCCCACTGACTCATTGCAACATTTCTCATGCATCTGTTTATTCTATCCCATTTTGTAATATAACTATGTAATATTACTTTTTTTATTCTCAATTTGTAAATACCTTGGTAGGCCTACTGTCTTTACTACTAAATTGCTTTTTTTTATGAAAATGTTATTACGTGTTTGTTTGTTTTTAAACAAATGGCCAATGGGGGGGGGGTTAAATAAAGTTATTATATAATCTAAGAGCTGACGTTCTAAAGTAGTGAATGGAGTGAATCCTCTATTTCGATAAACCCATCTTTCTCTCTAATGAAGAGCAAATTTGAATATTGATTAGGTTGTTACTAATCCAGGTAATTTCAGCACTAGCATAAGACAGGTGGTTACTTAATGCAGTGTCCAAGGCAATTCTTCATATTGCCTACCAAGTTTACATCTGTATCTCTTTGTGAGCGAGTGAGTGAAACATATGAAACGGTATATATATAACACAAAACAAAAAAACTACCGGTACTCTGGAAAATGAGAGGGCAGAAAAAAATGATTTCTAAGATACCCACAGTACTGTAAAATGGTAATTTTATTTTGTTGTCGCAATTTTCTTGTTTGACCTACTATTGAGATGAGTATCTTTTATATTATTGTAGATCAGAAATTTAGTGCTGAAGCAGGGGTATATATATATATATATATATATATATATATATATATATATATATATATATATATATATATATATATATATATATATAATATTGGGAGCTCGCTCTAATACTATAGCTCCAACTTCCTACCTCGTGGAAATGTCTTTAAGACAGAAAAATCTTAATGAAAGGCCAATGGAAATGCAAACAAAGCGTCGTAATTTAATAAAGCTATCATCGCATGTATAAAAAAAAATGTTTAACAAAACTAGTAAATGTGTACATACATGTGGAAAATCTGGTCCATGTACACTGGTGTCTTGGTTCTGTAGCTTGACCACAAATGGACACAGGAACTTCAGATAGTGAACTTTAACAAAGCACAGTTATGAATCAACTCCAAATGTATGCCACAATGTGTAGCATATTATCTAACTACACAGTTCAATAAAAGATGTCTTCCTCTTCTCTTGATTGTTGGAATTAAAACGTAAAAAAAAAGGAAACAAAATTCTTGGTAATTGGTTAATTTATTTTTACATAATTAAATTGCGAAATAATAACTCTTAAAAGCCAATCAATAACGCAAATCAATAGCACAAAGCTTCTTATTGTGAAAAAATAATTACAGCTTTCCGAAGAATCGATTCTGATCTAAGTCAGTTTAGTGAAGCAAGGTACGTTGGGTGTAAACTAAAATACATGAATAGACTCCTTATATATAAGAAGACTTCGACACACACCCTCGCTCCCCGTGGCTGAGACAACTAGGACGCCCTGGGGACGGGAAGTTCTGAGGCGAGTACGGCCAGGTTCTGATAAAAATCAATCGCATTCAATCTACAGGAATTCAATCTTTTTTTCTTCTCCCTGCCTCCCTCCCTCCCAGCTGTAGGCTCATATTTCCTCGTTATTGTTCGCGTCCTAACTGCGAAAAACAGAAACGATTGTATCATCCAAACAAAACACTTCAAAACGAGCAGTATAAAAATTATGAGTCTCTTTAGATGTGTTTCACACGCGTGTTCCAAAAAAATTCTAAATTTAGGCGACACCAAATATATCCTGATACGCTGGATGTCTTGATTTAGAGAAATAGCACCACTATAACACGAGAATGCTCCCGATCCGCCATGATCGATAAGACGCCGTTGCCTTGGTAACGAATGATGCGAGGCAGCCGCGAGTCGTTCGCTCGGTGTGGTCGGAATTTATATTGAGAGATCATTTTGACGCTGTTAAAAGTACAGGATTTAATAATATTTTTTTCTAAATGTCAATTTCAATAATGCATTGTTATCTTTTTTTTTTCTAACGAGATTAGGCCACCGAACCAAACCAATTCAAGATGGCGGTTATTTTGTTTTTCGTTTTCACACACGAAACAAAAAAACTCTCCAACCCTATGCCGATCTGTTATCATCTGTTTGCCTTCGTTACAGAGATTGTTTGACAGAGCTATTTATACACTAAGTGAATATTGGAGACACTAAATGGAATTTGCTTGACATAGATTAGCCAATTCTAAATTAGTAGGGAAAATGTCTATTTGATTTCTAGGGAGATTTTAGTGTATTGGGTGCATGCGTGAGTTTGTATGTTTAGCAATGTTATAAGTCTCTGTCTTTGATTGCATTCATATTTTTATTATATGAAATTAAATGGAAGAATCAGATTATGTCACGCTAACATAATATGCAAGTAAAGTTCCTCAGTAGATCTAGCGATCAATGGGACAGATGAAGTAGAGTTCATATCTATCTATATATATAATTCTCTTCATGGGGACCATAGAAGACACCATGCAGCTTAGCCACGACCCTCATCCCCACCTGTCAGGTGAGCTGTGGTTCACCCCGAATGTTTAAAATAGTAGAGCCGGTTCGGTTCGAATAAGTGGCGGCTATTAGGGGCAGATAATTTAATTTTTAGACGATTTGAAACTAAGGGGAGATAAGTTCTGCTTGATATTTTCATTGTCGTCTGTGAATGGCTGCTTTCGCTGGGCGGGATGGGGTGGGGGTGGGGGCGAGGCAGGGCGGTGGGGTAGTGTCGAATTCACAAATTATGAACTGTTGATAAGTAGAAAATAAAACAACTAGATAGAGGCGTATGCTACGTCGCTGGTCAGCTCGTATTTCTTAATCTCGGCAACGTAAGTCAGTTACCCATCAGAGTTGGGGTTGATCCAGGGACGTTTAACACTCACATGTCCGAATTGAGATTCAAACTAGAGACTTTCTGGCCAGCATCCAAACATTCTACCATTCGGTCTTGCCATTTACTAAAAGCACTCAGTCTTTTGCCTCCTAAGCATTAGTGAAATTTTAACAGTGACTTCCTTTTAGGTTTAGCTCTCCAGAGTTCTCTGTCCTGCTGGAGTATGCGCCGCCAACCAGAGTTCTCTGTCCTGCTGGAGTATGGGCTACCAACTAAAGCTCTCCAGAGTTCTCTGTCATGCTGGAGTATGGGCCACCAACTACAGCTCTCCAGAGTTCTCTGTCCTGCTGGAGTATGGGCCACCAACTACAGCTCTCCAGAGTTCTCTGTCCTGCTGGAGTATGGGCCACCAACTACAGCTCTCCAGAGTTCTCTGTCCTGCTGGAGTATGGGCCGCCAACTACAGCTCTCCAGAGTTCTCTGTCCTGCTGGAGTATGGGCTACCAACTACAGCTCTCCAGAGTTCTCTGTCCTGCTGGGGTATGGGCCGCCAACTACAGCTCTCCAGAGTTCTCTGTCCTGCTGGAGTATGGGCCGCCAACTACAGCTCTCCAGAGTTCTCTGTCCTGCTGGAGTATGGGCCGCCAACTACAGCTCTCCAGAGTTCTCTGTCCTGCTGGAGTATGCGCCGCCAACCAGAGTTCTCTGTCCTGCTGGAGTATGGACCGCCAACCAGAGTTTTCTGTCCTGCTGGAGTATGGGCCGCCAACTACAGCTCTCCAGAGTTCTCTGTCCTGCTGGAGTATGGGCCGCCAACTACAGTTCTCCAGAGTTCTCTGTCCTGCTGGAGTATGGGCCGCCAACTACAGCTCTCCAGAGTTCTCTGTCCTGCTGGAGTATGGGCCACCAACTACAGCTCTCCAGAGTTCTCTGTCCTGCTGGAGTATGGGCTACCAACTACAGCTCTCCAGAGTTCTCTGTCCTGCTGGAGTATGGGCCGCCAACTACAGCTCTCCAGAGTTCTCTGTCCTGCTGGAGTATGGGCTACCAACTACAGCTCTCCAGAGTTCTCTGTCCTGCTGGAGTATGGGCTACCAACTACAGCTCTCCAGAGTTCTCTGTCCTGCTGGAGTATGGGCTACCAACTACAGCTCTCCAGAGTTCTCTGTCCTGCTGGAGTATGCGCCACCAACTACAGCTCTCTTCTCTGTCCTTCTGGAGTATGGGCTACCAACTACAGCTCTCCAGAGTTCTCTGTCCTGCTGGAGTATGGGCTACCAACTACAGCTGTCCCGAGTTCTCTGTCCTGCTGGAGTATGGGCTACCAACTACAGCTCTCCAGAGTTCTCTGTCCTGCTGGAGTATGGGCCGCCAACTACATCTCTCCAGAGTTCTCTGTCCTGCTGGAGTATGGGACGCCAACTACAGAAAACGTTGGCACTACTACTTTTGACGAATTGGAGAAACTCTCGGCTGTACAGTCTCGTTGGCTATATTTATCAATAGTTACAGAAACTATTCAAAGCACTTAATTGTCTACGTTTTGTTGTGCGGTTCATAGCAAGCTTTTTAAACCGTTTTTTTTTCATCACAACTCGAAGTCAAAACATACTGTGGCGTGAAAACAAAACTAGAAAAATCCCAAAAATATTTTAACTGTTTACCTCTATCCATACCCATCGTTAAACATTGTCACACACAAAATTGACATCACACTTCATCCTATTATCTCCACACCCACCCACCTCCCACTCCAATGTTGCAGTTTATCGTTTTATAACAGCTTTTTTTTTTTTGTCTAAAATATATAGGATTAGTTAGCTCTGTAAACTTTGAGTGCCCTTATCATTTTCTATTACAATCTACAAAAACTATATTTTTAAATCGCGAAATAGCGAAAATGCAAGAGTGTGACGTTACACTTTTTGAACCCCACCCTATACCCTCGTCGCACTTCGGAGCAACGGGTCATCCATAAATGATGTCACGCTTTTTTGGACAATTTTACCTCCCCCCTCCTCTCCGTCACTGGTCGTCACAATAAACTAGACCCCCCCCCTAAAATGACGACACACCTCAGCATACACCCCCCCCCCCCCCCCCTCAAAATTGCAGTTGAATTTTTCTTGAAACGTTGATATTTTTCCAAAATCTTGTCTGAAGTATTTTAATCAATTTCTATAACAATTTATTAAAACAGTTTTCTAAAACGCCAAATAACGGCTAAAATTCGTTTTCTAACATTGTTTTTTTACAAAGCAAAAGTGTGACGTCAGCTATTTGAACCCCCTCCCCCTCATCACACACCGTCACAAAATTACGCCCCCCCCCCCCCTCTTTTTACGAGTGTGACGTCATAATGGAGGACCTCATTACCCCAAAGCTGACTTTTTAAAATACCTCTATTTCTTCTTCCTCCCCTCCCATTTACTGGATTTAGAATCTAATGTAAGTAGAATCTAGATCTAGATCTAGTAGTAGTAGCGTTTTTGTTTTTATGTACGGGATTTGTGTTTTACTTTTTGTCAAAAAAAAAACTGTCAAATTACTTGAAACCTTTTGTAATGTATTTCCATTTTTGTACTGCTAGACCACACCAAGGGAAACCACTCTCATGTTTGTGATTGAAGCATTGACTTTCAATGCACAGATTCTGACTTTCAGAACGTAAATTTCTGAGTTTGATGAGATTGTACTTGTAATATTTGACATTTATACTTACAATGTCAGAATGCGTTCACTGTAAGGGTATATAGACTAGATCAAGACATTTCAGATAATTTCTAGGGGGAAAATTATTTTATATTAAAATGGGCGTTGTAGGTTCTAAAATAACGCGAACTTTGAGAAGATTTAACATTGAAAGTCGCACAGAAAAGCTCATCGAAAAACACCAGAGAGTTGCTGATCCTGCCCCAAAACACCCAACAACAGTGAAAGTATTGTCTCGTTTAAAAGAAGGTAGATCTAGATCTAATTGTATTTTACTTAGGCCTAGCTATAATAATAAGGTAATCTATCGTTTTGGGTACGTAAAATCGTCCGCGGCTATTAATGAACGAACACGTTACCTCGTTGTCAAGGCTGTAATAGAAGTATATTGTGGTATGTTTGTGTCAAATATTATAGATAATTGAATAATAAACCTAAATCAATGGCTAAATATATCAATATAGGCCAGAAATTAACTTTAAACAGCAGTGTCTGCAAGCAAGATTTGATAAACAGCAGCCATTTGTAAAATAGAGTGACTTCCCCCTGAATCTTGCGCTATAAGTCTATAAAAATAAAACTTTAACAAGATGGCTGCTATAGTAAATGAGCATGGTTGCATCTGTTGGAAACATCGCTGGTGTTCACTTATTACTGAAAAGTTTTAATTCAATTGTTTTAAAACAGGTACATAAATGAAACAAGGACACATTTTTGTATTTTTCAAAACATAAATCCTCCTCAAAATGTGAAATAATTATTAAAGTGTAAGGAGTCACCTGTTTTTCACATTACAAGTCGCGTGCGATTTTACATACCTAAAACGATAGATTACCAATAATAATAATTATTACGAGCCGACCCGCTGCGTATCATACGCCGCTATTTAGTTGTTTTATTTTCTACTTTTCAGTAATTCATAATTTGTGAATTCGACAGTACCAATGCTGCCACTGAAAATATTTGCTTTAAAACACTAACCCCCCCCCCCCCCCCAACCCTTACCCTACACCCCCCCCCCCTTGAAAGCAGCCTCCTCTTAGTTACCTCCTGTAAGTTTAAAATCATTTCAAACTATATTATCTGCCCCTAATAGCCGTCAACAAACCTGGCTCTACGATTTGTAAACATTTAGAGTGAACCACAGCTCACCAGATCATAAGGGGGTGGGGTGGGGGTGGTAGTGATAGTGATAGAGAAGAAGAGAGGGGACTGCAAAGGCGCACTTGCAGCTTGTTTTCTAACGTCTCCCAGAAGAGAATTATATATATAGATATTACATACACTATACACTATAGTTAACTACACTATTACTTAGATTTTAATTTAAAAAAAAAAATTTATGTTGAAATTTAAAGTTAGTTAGTAGGCTAGATACTAGAAGTAGATATTATTAGATATCTAATTATCTAGATTAGTTACGTCAAGTAGAAAATCTAGTTAACTAATAAATTACTAATAATAGTAACAGTCTGCTGGCTTTTAGGTTTACGGCTTAGACTCTCTAACTCTACCCCACTCTAGGTTTAAGTGATATCATAAAGTATTATATAATATAATTATCTTAGGTAGTGGGTCTAGCTGTAGAGAGCTGGACTGCTAACCCGTAAGTCTCGAGTTCGAATCCGGGTTCAAGTCAGTTGAACGTCCCTGAGTCCACTCAACTCTGATGGGTACCTAACTCACGTTAGGGAAAGTAAAGGCGGCTGGGCATAGTGCTGACCACACTATCTCTTCATATGCCGAGGTCACAGAAACAAGTGAACTCTACTTCACTTGGCCCATAGACCGTCAGGTTTGAAAGGGAAACATTTATCTTAGGTGGGCCTATTAGATTAGACCCAAGCCAAGAGACTAAAAGTGAACAATCTAGCTGCAAGAACTAGATCCACTAGTTAACTTGATATGTCTAGATCCATCATTTACCTTATTTTTAACTCGAACTAGTTACTATTTATAAGGGCCTATAAGTATAAATATAGGCCTAATTAATAGCTGATTCTAGCCGGAAAAAGATATGCTTGCGCAATGGAGAGAAACTACGACTTTCCTTCACGGCGATGCTTTCAATGGTACTGCGCATGCGTGTGTTCACAACCGCAGAACCCTAGCCCTAATCCTAGCCCTAACCATAGCTCAGCTATTAAGGTCACTGCACATGCACAGAACTATCTTTTACCGACCAAGTGGAGACGCTAGGGCGAAAAAAAAATTTCTGAGTAGTACTTGGTTATTAATATTAGGTCTATAGTTTTTATAGGGGCCTAATAAATTTATAGGGATTAAATTATACTCTTATAGTAGGCCTATATAATATATACTTGAAATGATTAGCCTAATAATAAACAGTCTAAAACAAAACTTGTCTAGTGTTTTTGTTGTTAAAAATAGACTGACTTTTACAGTGCAAAAATAATTTTTGCAATGACAGAGGTAAAGATTGTACTAAAATTATACTAACTAGGCCTATAATTTCTATTCATGTAAATGCTAATATGCTTTTGCTATCAAATTATTAATAATTTTAAAAAATAGTTAATGTTTATATGCCTACTGCTATTAAGTTATTAATAATAAAAAATAGTAAGCCTAACTCTATGGTAATTTTTTTTCAGAACACCCTGAATACCTCGAAGCACAATTTATTAAACATGAAAAACTGAATGAAAATCTCAAACAAATATATGTGCAGTCTAAAGGGGCACTTCCTCAGGTAATTTGATATGTTTCTATTTAATTTGCAACTTTAAATAAACCGGGAGTGATCTCCCCTAAACTTTCTCGAATATTCTTATATAAAATAACAGGGGATGGGAACTCGGGCTATAGACATGATTTTTAATCCAATTTTAAATACTTAAAGTTTTAAAAATAAAATAAAATCTCGTAGACAAATTAATTGCACACCAAGTGAACGCGAAATAAAAAAGCGCATAATAGTGCGCAATATTATTATAACTTTTAAAATTTACATTAGTTTTTTGAGAAATCGGAAGTAGGGTAAAGTACTACTTCCAGTCAACGGAAATGACTCAAAATTTAATAGAAGGTAGAGAATTAGATCTTTTACTTACGTATGAAATTTCATTTATCTATCTGAAATAGTACTCAAGTTATAGGCTTTTGAAAAATTCAAAGTAGAAAAAGTACCACTTCCGGTTGTCGGAAATCGCTCAAAAGTTGATACGGATCTACGATTTTGATTAAATACTTATATATGAAATTTCATCAACCTAGCTGTAACGGTACTCAAGTTATCGTGTTTACACACGGACACACACACACACAGACACACACACAGACACACAGACATACGGACAAGATTGCAAAATTATGTTTTTCCGTATCAGTGAGATGCAAAACGTCGAGATTTGCAAAAATCTCGATTTTTTTTTTTTGCACGATTACAAGACTTTCTCTATACTTCGTATATACGAGAAAGTAAAAAGAGACCATATAAACAAATGGAAATTGTGTCCATGCTAATACATGTCATTCAAAAAATCATGTCACACACATGGTCAGTGGGATGTTAGAAGTGGAGGGAGGGATGGTTAAAATCTACTTTAAAAGTTGGACCTCATTTATGGACACAAATTCCACCCAAACAATTTAAATTATTTCCAGGATTTTTCAGGTTGTAATTAAAACTTCAGGAAATAAAACCAATTAAGTTTAAAATCACTTGGGCTCTGATAAACTATTGGAAATAAATTATAATCCAGTTTACTATTAATACTTTCAATAATGACATTACATTCATCTCTTAATAACCGCGCCCCCCCCCCCCCTACCCTTTTGTTGTAATTGAGGTTTTTTTTTCACCTAGAAGTAATCAGTTTAAAGAAAATATATTGAAATTAAATGTTTAGGGGACGGAGTGGTCTAGCGGTAGAGAGCTGGACTCAGGACTGCTAACCCGTTAGTCTCGAGTTCGAATCCAGGTTCAAGTCAGTAGTCCACCCAACTCTGATGGGTACCTAACTCACGTTAGGGAAAGTAAAGGCGGCTGGGCATAGTGCTGACCACACTATCTCTTCATATGCCGAGGTCACAGAAACAAGTGAACTCAATTTCACTTGCCCCATAGACCGTCAGGTTTGAAAGGGAAACTTCACTTTTTTTTAACAGCTGTTGAATATAGACATTTGCTTTGTCATGAGGCTGTCACATTCATAGGCCTCACATTCACAGTTCATCACGACCAAGAGAAGCTGAATTATGAAATCTGGGTAATAGAGGCTGTTGCAAAGTTTGCAGGAAAATGGAACCATTTTTTAGTGGGAAATTTCCCATCAGATGGCAAAGTGTTATAATATTCTGATTCTGAAAAAAGTCACAATAGTTGATGTGGATTGATTTTTTAGCTTAAGTAAGCTGTTTATTGTGTAATCCAAAATACAGAAATCCTTACTTACATCTCTGCAGTTAACTGGCACCCCAAATTTCAAATTTACATCTAGTTATAAGAGAGCCTAAAAAACCTAAGAGTATTAGACTTGGATCTTTACATTTTTGCTAACATATCAGATTTGTACCCAACATTTCAGAAAAATGAAATGTGGCTAGGTATTGTCAATGCCAAACAATGCATGGCCATGACTGTTTATGTAAAGTTTGAAAATAGTTTTAATCCATGTTGAAGTTTAAGTGTTAAAATGAAATAGAGATTGCAGTAAGTAAATAGTTTTGTTATGAGTAGAAAGACGAGTATTTATGCTAATTAATAGTCTTACTTAAATATTTATTGAAGTATTCCAACAATCCTTGTTTACCATACAAGGTGCAGTATTCTTATTATGTTGGTCAACTAAATGTTTAAATTATCTATATTTACCTGTACATTTTCAACTGTACATTTTTCTTTTTTTTATATGTAAGCAGTACACAAATCCATGATAAAAATAAATTGGTGCTTTCCAGCAGAAAATGATTATAGCAGTTTGGTACTTTAGTTAGCATTTTTGATAATGACCTAGACTTAAACATAGCAATAACACTGAAACTACTGAAAGAAAAATATTTTTTTTCTATTTTAGGGCTTTACAAGAAAATAATAACTTGAGTTTTAAAGATGAACAGAGTATGCAAAAAAAAAATCTTATTTATTTATTTTACAGATTTCAGCTGATAAACCCTTACCACAACAAAGAGGTATGGCAGAAGAGACAGAACTTGGTGCCATGGAAACTAAGTATGTTGTTCGTGAAGGCCGAGTTAATCTCAAGAATGTCTTAAGCTTTTTGAATAGCCACCAGTTAAATCCGAAGGAAGTGACAGCAGAGAAAATTGCCCAGGAAATGAAACTAGATCAAACTCAGGTAGAAAATGTGCTTAAATATTTTAGGATTTTTCACTTGCACATACCCAAAGAAATGTTTGAGAAAAATCGCAAATTTGAGAAGCTGTATAAGCAACAAATAGCTGCAGCTGAGAAAAATCCTTTGAGTTTTCGGTTACCAGGTGACATGCTGAGAGACTCACTAAAATTGGGACAAAATGACTCAAAATTGAAAGAAGTAAAGAGTGAAAATTTGGATCTTCCTAAAACTTGAGCATGTATAACATAGAATGTTGTTTAAGTGCTATTAACAAACTGGAAATTCTCATGTTTATGTTAAATATATTTATTTACTAAAATACTGTTAAAGAATTGGTGAATTGTCACATTACTTGGCTATTAATATATTTAAATGGTAGGAATTGAAACAAGAATAAATAACAAACAAAAATGTAGATTTTTTTGCTAATTTATTAAAAGATAACTTCAGAATGATAGTTTTTTCCTGCTTTATAATTTCTTGTAAAACAAAAGGTTATTGGAAAGTTTTTCTGATTTACTTAGACTTATTCACATATGTACAGTTTTCATTTTACTGCTTACTAGGATCTAAATCATTGTGCTAAGGTTCGTCATTTTTTTTGTACTTGTTTAGTATCAATACTATCAACCTTAATAAAGCACTTTGATCCAGTCGCAGTCTTTTGTCATCATGTTTTGATTTTTGTCTTGTTCTTGTAACAATATCAGTCTGCTATATATTATTTTCGTTACAAAGTCAGTCTTTCAATGTAATCATGCACTATAAACTACGACTATTAGCTTTCTATCCACTAAATTATTAACAGTTTTAAATGCAACAAGTTAGAATGTGAACAACATTTGTAAACATGCAAATAACAATTTTTATCAGCCATTTGAAATCAGCCCTTAGAATAAAAGGAATGAATTTCCTCAGCTACTTCTAAACCCCGAATAGTCAAAAACTTGTTTTCATCAGACACTTTCCCGTTCAGGATTGCAGCGTAGAATTCTTCCATATCTCTCATGAAAAGACCTGAAGTTGATGATATAATTTTTGTTAGCTCTAGTTGAAAATAACACTAATATTTAACACAAGCTATACTTTTAACTATGCACACTATGTAAATACTAGGCATGCTGCCCAGCTTCGCTTAGGCTTTCGAAAACATTGAGAATTTGAATGCTTAATTAATTCGCCCGAGGGTCGGTCTACGACCTCAAGAGTTATGAAGAGGTTCCTCCTTGGACATTTTTTTTCGATTTATAGCTCATATAAGGTACCGGTCAGTCGAGGTCAGTTTTGACCCCCTCATCGTAGACTTTTCGGCCAACCGGCCCACGTGCTCTGTCGCCCCAAGGCAAGATCCTGCCAAATTTGAAGCGCCTGCGGCGCCGGGAAGTGCCTTATCGGACACCCGACGATCTAGATCTAGAATCCTAATTGAATTTTTTTTTTTAAGTTTAGTCCGAGCAAAATAAAAAAAAAATACATTAACCAAGTTGACTTGGTGGGTCTCGAACCCGCACCACCTGCGTGGTTTATAGTACGCTAACATCTCCGCTATTTAGGCACCTTATAAAATACAGAGAATGAAAGACGTATTTTAAAATCTTAACTTACGCGAATATGCCTATTCTTTCAAATTAATTTTTTTATCCCAAATTAGCCAGTTCCAAACAAAGATTTTGTATAAATAAATGTTATGAGTTTAGGCCGGAAAAATTGTATTGTATACATTTCATAGTGTACGTAGATCTAAATCAAATTTGAATGAAATAGTTCATTTCTTTTTTATTCTAAACACGGCAGATGATGTCATTAGTAAGCAATAGTGTCGTCACAGTTTTATGCGTTCTTTTACACATCTATTAATGCTTTTCCGGTTGCATAAATAATACTGTTTCTCTACATTCGAATACGCCTTTATTTTATATTTTTCTTCTTTAAATAAAATTGTGGTTATACATTTAAAACATCTAACATATTATTTTCAACAAAAGTCCGTATAAAGTTCTCCATATATTGCTGCCGTTTCTGACGTGATGTCCGGCGAAAATTTTTTGCGGACAGAGAGAGAGAGAGAGAGAGAGAGATGTGCGAACGTGGCCCATTATAGTATTAGATATTTGATCAGTAATTCAAATTTTAAAAACACAGCTGTATCAACGCAACTAACTCCAGCATTAAATATTTATGATTACCAGGCTTTGATGATGTCTGGGGTATTTTATCTGAGTCAATGACCTCCCCATCCTCAAACTCATAAATTGTCTGTTTTCGTCTGTGTTCCTCCTTTGATTTGCTTCTTGAAAGTGTTATCTTGATTGGCCTGGGGAAAGAAATCAATCCCTCAATAGTATAACCTGTTCCACGAGTTAGTTTTCTCATAAAATATATCAAATTATTAAATAAGCAATAAATAATTCAATACATTTTCTATTCGACTTCTACATATCGTATTTTATCAAATCATAAAATGTATTAATTTATAAACTGATGAAAGAAATATACTTCAGTCTCATCATTATACTGATAAATATTCATTTACTTTCCATTGGCTTCAAGATCAGCTTCTGTTGTGTAGCCATCTTCAGATTTCTCCAGTTTCCCATTCACAACTTTCACATCTCCAAATAAAGAGAGCATATTTTGGATACCTGAAATACCTGTCACAAAGGGCAAGCCTGAGGCTTGAAAGTCTTCAATCCATCCATTGTAGGAGCCTGTACAAAAATGTTAAGTGAGATTAATTAAATCGCCATAATCTCCATCCACTGTAAAAGCCTGTTATAAAAAGGTACAGTTGGTTGGCAAAAAAATTAAAAAAGAAAAGTGTAAATTGTAAATAGAAAACACATTGAAACTTCTGTGTAGCTTTTTCTGTGAGCAATACTTTATGTGGGTGTAGGCCTAAAAACACAGATATTTACATATATTCATAACAGTGAAACATAATTGCATAAACTGAGTGAATATTATCAGGTTTTTTTAATTGTATATCCTTAACCTGTATATAAATAAAGGATTTACCTTTAAGAGTGTATTGGCCTGACTTTATCCCAACACTCTTTACCTTGTTCTTCACTACATTAAATCCCTCAGTCAGAAGCCCTATGTTCTCTTCATATAAGACAAGTCCTGCAAAGGAGCATTCAGAGAAGTCAGAACCACATGTATGCTGGTACATAAACCAGACAACAAAGTCTAAGAAGAAGGCAGATATCCATCCCAGTTCATGAAAAGCTAATCATGTTACTATGTGGGTGCAAATCTAGAATCTAGTGGTTTTTTTTTTTATTGGAATATGAACAATGCAGTAAAAGATGACTATACTAAAGTCAGGAACATATCAGCAGTTAGTGAAAATTAAATGTTATCAAACTGGTTCAAAAACAAATGTTTTTAAAAATTATATTGTCCATTAAATAGTGTTACAACAATATTTTAAGCACATTTGAAGTTAACCTTTAGATAACGTGCCATTGGAAAGAAAATCTAAGAATGAGAAGAAAAGAACAAACCTTTTTGTTCTGCCAGCTCATGTAGTTTTCTAGCTGTAGCAGAAGACAAAGCCAGAGGATACTCCACAAGTACATGTTTGCCACTTTCCAAGCTTTTTCTATTAAAAAAAAATGTTTTAACCTATTTTTAGAGAGATGGGTTATTACTGGGTCAGTTGTTGAGATAAGCATAAAATTTAGTTGCCTGTAAAGCTTTTGTCTGCAGTCTTTATTGGACAACTTCAATTTTAAACCAAACAAAGGATGTTGAGTTCATCTAATAGTGGTAAAATATACAGCTTATACTTTCTTGTATATGCAATTAACTTACTTAACATAGTCTTCATGCAGACGTGGCTCAGTACTAATAAATATTGCACCAACATCTGGTTTATTTAAGGCCTCATCAAAGGTCAAGGCTGGGACATCAGCATCTTCTACAGGGCGTCTGCAATAACAGAATTTTAGAGGGTTATGAAAATCACTTGGCTTTTTATGAGGACTGCAAAATAAGAATAAAACAGATCAAAAATGTTGGCCGGTCATAAAATATAAAAATGTGTTTTTATTTACCTTGATACCACACCCTTCAATCTTAATCCGCATGTTTTTTCTTTCAAATCTCGAACACGAGCCCTTCCAGCCATCCCAAGACCAACTACCACTACTCCTATCTCTTTCTGTAGTGACATCTCCAAAGCTTCTTAATTCTGTAAATTCAAATAATTTTATCGTCAAGTATTTCGAGTAATAATCAGCTCTCCCTATCCTGTTAACCACAGACTATGAAAATGGCTAACTCTATCAGTGAGGTTTGGCATAACCAATTAAAACAAGATTGTTCACATTATTGTTTTGAGTCCACCCAGCTTTGATGGGTACCTGACTAATGTTAGGGAAAGTAAAGGCGGCTGGGCATAGTGCTGACCAATCTATACCTTCATATGCCAAGGTCACAGAAGCAGGTAAACTTTACTTTACTTGCCCCATAGACAGTTAGATTCAAAAGGACATTGTTTTAAATATCATTCCTCAATGAATAATTTATGTAATTATTAATAAATATAAACATAAAATGCCCATCCAGTTCTGAGAATATTTTATATTATCTTATCATGTCACCATGGTATGTGTCTAGTATAATAAATCTATCTACTAACTAATAGATCTAGAATCATCTACTGATCACTTATGATGTCTATCTGATCTGCAAAAAAAAAAAAACATACCTAACACTAGGGAGTAACAGTTTGACTAGGTCCTAAGTAGTGTAGATGAATCTATAATTTTAAGTCTAATTCCAAGCCAAAGGCATCTAATTAATCTACAAAATATCTATCTATGGTGGGTAATTTTATTTATATAGGACTATATTATAAACCTAGGCCTAGTAACATATAGTTACATATGTAGGCGTTTTAACTGAGTATTATACAATCTATGGAGTACTAGTCCCAGTATTTATATATTATAGTTTATATAGTTACATGTATAGTTATAATAATATATATTATATGGCCTTCTTTTTATCTATAAGTATCATTAAAACAGCTGAATGATAGTCACATGCTTGGTGTCCCCGTCCATGATGATGAGTGTCAGTGATGATAGTTGACTGATAAGATTAAAAAGTTATTAAACGTTCAAGTTCAGGAAGACTGAGCATGCATTGTCTAGGCAGGCTAGCTAGTGAACTGTCGGACTTGGGCCTACTACAACTACTAGATCTAAGTACTATTGAAACTGTAGGGGGAATTTTTATACCGGTGTCCGATAATGGAATCTTCTTTAAAAAGGGGTGTTAGGTTACTGGTAGTTAACTTAAACACATGACTGGCTAATGTCAATGACTCAATACTAACTCTGTCCCTAACCCAAACCCTGGTCCTACCATACGCCTAACCCTAGGCCTAATTTCTAACCATAAAATTTGTCGAGATTACAATACTACTAATAGTACAAACAACCCAACACAACTATTTTATGGAAGAGTCTATTATTATCGGACATAGGTATCTAAAATTATCCGTAACGGTTACTATAGCCTTAGTACAATTAGGTAAACTTTAGTAGTGCTTGTACTTAGAAGACTAAGTACTAGATCTAGTACAAGCAGTCAGTATCTATTATCTAACGTAACTAACTAGCTGTCTAGCCCTACTCAACAATAAAGTAAATAATAGGCCTGCCTAAGTAAGTAATGAATAAATATAAATAATCCTAGACTCTAGATCTATCTGAAATATGACTGTCTACCGTCTAGACTCTAGACTAGAGCTCTAACACTAGCAGACTAGCTCAAGCTGAGTCTCTCAGTCTAGCTACTACCTAGTACTAGTAGTAGTCTAGTACTAGATCTAGATTTTCTAGATCTAGATTTCTAGGGATGCTTATATAATATTATATATTATATAGATCTAATATAATATATTTCATATTATTTCGAGTCGTCCCTTTGACTCCACTCTGAGCCGTCGGACTCAACTCACTCACTGAGCACTACGTACGTATAGTATATTGGCATTTATTGGTGATACCAGAGTCACGTAGCCCTGTCACACATAGATTCTAAATCACAAATCTTACTTATTTTATTAATTAAAAAAAAATATAATATTACTTTACTTTACTTTTATATTTTATAATGATTATATAACACACACACAACTATGAAACGGTTGGTATACACGCAATGTAGTTCACAGCAGTTTTTTTTCCTATTGAGCAGTGGGGGGGGGTCTTTAGATTTTTTTTCAGTTGTGTAGGCCTACTCGTCTTCATAATATCTATATATATAATTCTCCTCTTCGAGCCGTTAGAAAACAAGCTGCAAACGCTCTCCCTACCTCCCCACCCCTACATGGTTTTAGTGAGCTGTGTTCACTCTAAATGTTTACAAGCAGAGCCAACGATTTTAAACGTAGGGGGGGGGGGGGAGGGGGGGGGGGAAGGAAGGGGGGGGGGGTTATGGTCCTTAACGAGCTACTTATAGTGTTTTAAAGAAATATTTTCAGTGTCAGCGTTGGTACTGTCGAATTCACAAATTATGAATTATTGAAAATTAGAAACAACTAAATAGCGGCGTATGTTATGCCGCGGGCCGGCTCGTAGAATCTATTTTTAAAAAGTCGCCATCCATTTATGACGTCGACAAAAGTTTGGTACTAAATGGTACTTTAGACTTCCACCCCCCCCCCCCCCCCCACCCTGTACACACTCGTCCACTTTCGACTAAACCTCCATGTGTACGCCGACTAAATTGTTGAGCTCACATAACTTACTTCCAGTTTACTAATATTAACTTAATAGCATGTAGATATCTAGATCTAGACCTGTTGTGAAGGCTACATTGAAATGTTATTGAAAGATCTATATAGTGTGTTAGCATATATGTCTATTATTAGCCCTAAATAATTAAAGTTGAATCTGGAAAAAAAAAGTTTTACAGGTAAGGTGCATTATAATATTAGCAGTCCTAACAGTAAAAAGAATTATGACCACCTCGGGTTTATGACCTCTAACGATATTTACTTTATCGCATGCTAGATCCAGGCCTACTTATTACTGGGTGCTTATAAGTTATTGTAGCCTTGGCCTATAAGTTGTGATTCATAAACGACGTCACACCCGTAGGGAGGATGAGACGTAGGGCAATGGGGAGTTTCTGTAAATATGAAGACACACTACTTCGAATTTTTCGTCATTTCAAGTCCAAAGCGAATTTTGTAAATTGAAATCAAATTGATCTGTGATCACTCAATTTGAGCGCATATCAATAAATTTAGTAAGATTGGTGGATTTTTAAAAAAATTAATAGGCCTATATTGTAGTGTTGATGTGGGGGTGGTACAACAATCTTCAAACAATCTGTTGAAGAACTGAAAATGAATATTTTAAAAGCTTATGTTCAGTTCCCTTTTTGAACCAGCCGGTCCATGAACCAAGCGAAGTTCAGTTTCAGTGATCTCAGCAAATGAAGGGATAGTATGGTCAGCACTATGCCCAGCCGGCACAATAAATATAAGCTACAATACATTTACCTTAAGTTGTTTTTTTTTAAAAATAGATTTCCAAAGCTTTTCTTGACCAGTATTTTCAAGCTGTCTTAAGTATTTGCATATTATACATAAGTTTTTACCAACAACAATTGCAAATCTAGCAATTATTCTGAATTTAATTTAAGAAAAGAAAAACACATTTTAATTCAAATGTAACCATTTATTATCAAACAATATACAAATATATCAATGCCAGTTTGTAAATATGACACCATGACTAAAAATGCATTCAAAGAATATAAATTATATTAAAAATTGACAGAACTTGTGAAATAAAGCATTAATTGTAAGAATTTCTACATAAAAACCCCTACCCATTCAATACAAAACTGTAAAAATTCTATAGAACATTTAAATTCAATGTTACCTGTGTACTAACCCCAATATTAGCATTGTACTGGAGTGTGCACTCAATTTAGTATAGACTTAAAAATCTCTATGGAAGAAAATAAGGCAGTCTGTAGTCTACAACACCCAGTAATCCAGCAGTCAAACAGCTACCAGATTACAGACGCACATGTCTAACGCAGAAGCCGATAACACCAACATCAGTTAATTTAGTTAAAACAATTTTCAATTCTATCTATATTAATAATTAGCTGTCTCCGAAGTGTACAAAAAGTATTTTTTACACTGTATACATGTTATGAAACAGATTTATATTTTTCCTCTAGTAGAGGGTAATAAACATTCCTGTACAAACAACTCAACTGGATTCCAGCATATGATCTGTATTTACATTAAGTATTGATGGGTGATTAGAAATGGAAGAGGAATGATGGATGAGTATTTTACAAGCCTCATGAGCTAGCTATTTACAGACAGTCAGCAAAAAAGGTTACATATTATCTGATCTAAATTTTCAAAGTTTAACATTTCTGAATCCCATGAAGTAAAAAAAAGAAAAAAAAATTTAAATGTTTTAACATCTGTATTTTTACTTTTAAATCTCTATATTAAAAAAATGATGAGATCATTAAAAAAAATATAAAAGACTTAGTTTGATTAACATGAGGTTCAGTTGCAACTGGTATATATATATGAAACTTATAAATATTTAACATGCAATAAATGGATTTTGCTTATAGTAAATTAATGCCTTATTATGCTGCTTTGATATACGATACATTGACATGTAACTGGCAACTAATATAACATCTGACCATACCACTATTCTACTTCTAGTGTAACTACATGACTGCATTCCACTCTACTGGTGTGGTGACTACCTGCTTGCAACTTTACAAGTTTGTGGTCTTACTTCGTCTGAAAATTTAAATGTTGTATACATTGAAAAAGCCATTTATAAACAGGAATGAAAACCCCCAAAGCTCAAAACAAGCATGGGTGTATATTTTAGACAGCTGATCCTGAACATTTCTAATAGAAAGAAAGGCTATAAAATACCTAGCCTAGAAACAAAGTTCAGTAAAAACTCAAATTAGGCAGTCTAACACTAACTCCAGCCAAATTTACTTTTCAAGACAATAGTCAGGTACCCAACTGAGCTGGCTGTAGTCAAAACATGATTTAAATATGAGTATTTATCATGTGATCTTTCCACTCAACGACAAAGCCCCTGTAGATTAAGGATTAAGTAAAGCTTGTCCCAACTTACTTGCGACTATGTCCTTCAAGGGCAACAGAACACCTCTCTTCTGTATCGGTCCACTGGAGTTCTGGGTCATACCTCGGTGTAGTTGGGCTGCGCCTCTTACGCGACCCAGGGGATATTTGTTTTAATGTTTCTACATCGTGGAAGACAACAGCAGCACCACCACCTGATGTGGGAATCACATCACCCTGGAACAATTTTATACCAGGTCATTGCATTGTTTACACATACTGTTGTATTTTGTTTCAGTCAGTATGACATGAATTCAATAAAAGAAAAGGAAAACAAAAACCACCATCAGATGAGAACGAAATAAATTATGCTGGAATAACAAGGGCTGAAATTAAGTCTGCATGGCTAGATCATTTGAAAAGTGAAATTTCAAATAGTGTTGTATTTTCAAAACAGAAAATATATATACCTTGATAAGTTTGGTAATGAGTTCATCATTAGAGTCCTGCTCTTGATGAGTAAGCACATATTTAGATGCAGATTTTGTGTCTTTAACATCCAGTTTTGTTACTGATTTCTTCTTGGACATGCGAGGCTGGAACAGGGTATCTATAGTGTTGGGAAGAAAATGATTGAAAAAATCAAGAGAGAAAAGTTAAAAGATAACAGATTTTTCTTAAAAGCTAATATGAATTGAACTTTTGGTAATCTTTGAAGCAAGATTTTAATTAGTTCAATTTAAACTTTCATCAGATGTCAGAAAACACAAAAAATATTTAATGTTGATTTAAGTACCTGTCTCAACTATGTCAGCAGGCTTATGTTCCAACCATGTTTCAGCACTACCAGAGGATTTTGATCGGCGATGATGTCGAAGATTTACTACAGGTTGTCTCTAAAATATAGTAAAACATAAATGTGTAAATTGATGAAATTTTGTACCAAAATACACAGAACGATACCAAAATCTCAATCAAACGAAGCAACTTATACAGTACGTTATCAAAATCTTGGTGCAATAAAAAAAAAACTTAACTGATTTGCACAGAATGATACCAAAATCCCAATAAAATAAAACAACTTACTGATTTGCTTGATGAAGGTGTGACTCCAACCTGTGTGAGGTTTGGAATAGATTTGGCAGCAGGAATTCTGTTGGTTGGTCTTGTCTGAACTTTGGTGTTTCCAGCGCGACCAGCAGCTGCACGTGCTGATGATGCTATGGTACTGGATCCAACGGATGTGATGTCAGTTTCAGAGCTGTCATCAAATTTAAAACACAGTATTAAATTTTTATTTTTAACATTGACATTCAACATTGTTTTTCAAATATTAGTACTGAAACCAACTTAAGTTGTATTAGCTGAGAACTTTTTGTCAAATTAAAAAAAAACTTTCATCATTTTATTATGGACTTTTGCATAAATATTTCAAGATTTGAAACAAATTTTTTTAAATTGTATTCCTGCAATTTAAACATTTCACAAGTCTTTTTAACCCTTAAAGCGCGCCAAGCCACGATCGTGGCTTTGCTGTTACATAAGTTATAACACATAAGGCCACATGGTGCGCATTTTAAGGGTTAAGAATAAACACTGTGAGCCATAACCAAAACATGATGTACTCTAGAGTGCAGCACATGATATTAAAATACCTACATTGCAGTCTGGATAGAGGCAGGTGTTGTGTATGTTCGAGGCTTAGGGGTTGGTTGAGTTGTGGCACGCGATCTCATTCTTGGTGTGCCCACTAATTCATTTTCATTCACAATATCCCTGAGCATTTCTAATTTCCTGTCTCTTTCATCCAGCTGGTTCTCAGCCTCAATCTCCAGCTGTCGTCTTGCTTTTTCCTACATTAAGACATGAATAAAATATCAATTAAAATGGTGAGTTGGGCAGCTATTCCAGAACTTAAAATTCATTTGAGAATTGAAGGAAAAAAAATGTAAATCTATATTATTCCATAAATAGCAAATTTCATAAAAAAAATTTTCTCACCAAATTTTTCTCCCAAGCCTGATTATTCATTTGCAACCGACTTCTAAATTCTGATCTCAGTTTATCTTTAGCTTGCTTTTCAACCTGTATCTTCCATGCCTTATCTTGAACCTGCAAAAGTTATTTTGTAAGAAACCTTCAATCAAAGCATAATAAGACGCCCAGTGGAGCGAGGTGGTCTCAAGAAAATACTAAGGACACTTGGGAACTGAACTTGTCACCTTCAGCTTTCTTTATACAACTCAATTTAAGTTAATACATGTAAAAATACATAATTCAAATGTATGGAGTACAGACCTGAAGACCTAGCAGTTGATTCTCCTTCTCCAAGTCTTTCATTTGTTTCATCAGCTCATCCAACTTTCTCTCCAAGCTTTTGTTTTTGCTCTCAAGTTTAGCTGCTGCCCGCTCCCTCTGAGACGACTTTTCTTCCAGGTCTTGCAGACGGAGTTTCATTTGGCCATAATCTTGTTCAAACTCTACCAGCTGAGCTCGAAATGATGAACCTGGGAATAAAGAATCACCCACAGTAAGTAATGTACCTAGGAATAAAGAATCACCCACAGTAAGCAATCAATGTAAAATATAATTCTACAGCAATGAAATTAGTCTCAAATGGAGTTACTCACAAGATCTCTCATAATCCATTGACATTTCCTGTCTGCGTCGCATTCGCTCATTTAAGCACTGAATGATATTTTTTATTGTAAGATCATCAGTTGGAGCAATCAGCTACAAATAGAATTATAATTTTCACATTAAAAGATAAAATGTAATTAAGATGATTAAAATAAAATTGAAAATTGTAGTTCAAAAATATTAAATACAAATTAAAAAATACTTAAAATCTCACCTCAAGTATTGGGAAAGGTGGACCAACTGAAAAATCAATTGGAAGAGATGGAATCACAAGAGCTGTGGGAATTTAAAAAAATGTTTTAATTTCAAATTTTCTGAGACATGATTCCATATTTGATTATTAGTTAATTTAATTATGAATAATTATTCAGGTAACCACCTAAACTAAAATATAATCTACAACATGTTTTCAACAGAAAAGGAGAGGTATTTCTGGTATTCAAAATACTAATAAGAAGTCTTTGGATAAGCTTGCTACGTATTTTTTACAATGCCATCTAAAAAAATGCATATAGAGTGGAAGTACTAGAAAATTACAAAATTGTAATACATTACCTTCTTCAACTTCATCCTGGTGCATCCGTCTTCTCCCAGGAGTGAGCCCAAGGTCAAATTTGTTAGATTGTTGAGACTTGGTGATAAGAACTTCCTGTGTCATCTCTGCAAACTTCATCACATGCTAGTGAAGGAGAACATAAAAAAACAAACTGTTTTTATTAAGTTCACATAGCTTCCTATAATTATTAAATAATGAATTTATTCCTTTCTATCTGAGCATAATTACTGTAAAAACATAATAGTTTAATTAAAATTTTAAAAATATGTATTATATTTGGCCAATTAAGTGACATATGACCAGAGATTGAGGCAACTGAAAGTTTTTATGGAAGTTCTCAAAAGCTACGCCTGAAGGCTGAAACCTGGTTGGTTTCAGTAAAAAAACAAATGGTAGCTGCAGTGAGGTTAATGTAATTAGTAATAAAACAGATAGTATTAGTTACCTCACAAGTTAAAGACAGTTACAAGTACTATGGACGTTTCGACCCAAGGTCTTCGTCAGCACACAACAGTGTGATTACAGATTAGACAAATAAAGACAAACAGTAACACATTTTTTGACTTAGCTCGACAGTGAAAACACGTCTTGTTTCGACCCAAGGTCTTCGTCAGCACAGTAAAAAAATTGGTTTTTCCATGCCAATAACAAATTGAGATTATATTATGTTAGCTAATGACAATATGTAAGGATGATACCAATACTTTGCAATAAACAAACAAAAAAAGAACCAATAAAAATAAAAGGATAGGAATTGATGTAAGAGAGAGAATTAAAGTTTTGGAATAAGGGAAGACCAGTACTTACAATAGTTTCTTCATATTCAGTCATCTTCGGGTTAACACACACTATCATTCTCACTTTTCCATCACCATCAAAAAAGTTCTTGAACAAATGTGTCAGACGTGAGTCTCTGTATGGCACCATCTGCAATGTTGCATGAGCATTAGAACTTAAAATATCGAACTCTATACTAAAATGTTAAAAGAAACAAAAATTGTTCAACAAAAATGTACCTTGTTTACTCCACACTTTTGATTCTCTCTAAGAACTTCCAGGCAGGTTCTCAGTACCATCAGTGATTGGTTAATATTGCCTGCTTCTTTGAGACGATCCCCAGAGTTTTTTGTACGGTTTGTTCTCTCACTTCCAGCAAGGTCAACAAGGGAGAGCTGTGATACACAGATCCTCTCAGAGTCCTAGAAAAAATGTAACAAATCAGTACAACAAATACAAAATGATAGCAACAAAACTTGAAAGTCATGAGCATAATAATAGTAAAACTTGATTGCCAGATGTTATTTAAAATCAAAGTCATAATCAAAATTTATTGTTCAAAGCTCTATGTAACTAACAGGAATATCTAAATTATATGATCATAAATTGAATATGATCACGCACTATATGTTTAACACAGGAGGCAGAATGATTTAGAAAATTATCTATTGTTTTTATTTAATTTTAATGTTAATAAATTTTTAAAACAACTTTTTTTTTTAAAAACTTGCTTAAATTTACAAGTATTAAAAAAGGTAAAAAAATAAAAAACAAAACCAAAAAGAAGAAAATCAAATCTTAATCAAAATAATAATACTACAATGGACGACAACACTTACAATATAGATAATGTTTTCTTCCTTTAAAGTAAATTGTGTTTATATTAGATTCAAAATGTGGCCAAAAAGAAAAATATATTAAGAGTCTACTAAAGTGAATAATAATAATAAATAAACAATGAATGTTATAATATAAGTGCATGATAGTTTACAAATGCAAATTTAAAATGGTAAATTAAAAAAACAAAAAATAATTTACCTGTATCACTTCTTCACCACGGGCATCTAATGGTGCTTGCACTAATCTAATGTTAAAAACACTGTGGCTTCTGCTTGATTCAGCATTAAGTGTTGTGTGAGCCACCTTCCTGCGTCTTTGACCTTAAAAACAAATTGTAAAAACATTTGTAGTTTTTTCACTAGATGTACCAGTGACAGTTGATTGCTTTAAAATAAGATTAATTAAATAATTTAAATGTCATAATTGCATACCTTTATAAAACACATCAATAGCATCCTGAGGTTGCTTCACTTCTATTTCAGTACAATTGTGAACATACATGTTATCACTTGAGTCTGTTCGTAAAATCTTTGATTGCGGAGGTCTACAACCCAAAAAAAGTTGAATTACTAATTTATGTAATTTTAACTTCCATCTGTTTTAAAAGTTTGAGATAATGCTTTCAAAAGATTTTAAACTATGAAATTTCTACGACAACAAAAATATGTTGGTATAAGTAAAAAAGAAAGGCACCTACTTGTAACCAGTGATAGAATTATAAGGCAACTCCTCAAGCAGGTCATAAACATAGTTGTTGTAGATCTCAATGAATGAAACAAACACAGCATAGTTGTTGTCCTCTTCCACTGTATCCACTTTGGTAGGATCCATCACACGCTCAATGTCACCAGATTCAGGCCTGTATCACACAATTGTCAACACATAAGCACAACTTTTCTCAAATTTTATTTGTATCTCTCACTTAACTAAATATGTGTACATTAACTCTGTATGAAGCAGCTTACCTTTTACTGGCTGATTTTACTGGGGTTGTAAGGTTGGGCATTATTTCTTTCTTTTGTCTCTCTATCATTGCATCAGCCTCTGTTTGAACTTCAAAACCATTCATTCTGTCAGGTCTAAAAACCTGTAAAAATATATCAAAATATATGCAACCGATACACTTAATTTTGAAAGCAGGATTTAATACATAATGTATTACTGTCCAGTGCAATGCTCAGTTCATTTCACAAATAAGCTACTACTATTTTAGAGAGAAAAGGCTAGAACGTCATTTCAAAACCAAACAGGTTAATCATAATGACTATTATTACACTGCTCTCCAACACAGACTAGCATAGTTTGACTTCACTCACGTATTTCTTTGCTTGCAGATCTCCAATGCTGTTAAACAATACATCTAAAGATCGTGGTAGAATGCCTTGATCTTGTGGACTTCCAGTCATGGTGTATGTTTTACCAGAGCCTGTGACTCCGTAAGTAAACAGCAGACCTACAATAGAGAATTAATTGTATTGCACTATATTCCTGTACACCCTGTGTTTAATTCTAATTTTAAATATCTGGTAGTTTATTTTATGTAAATATTTACAGTAAATTTTGAACCAGTATTTTAATACTACTTTAAAATGGTTCCAAACAGTTTATCTTAGTGTCCTAAATACAACTGGCACTAGTTAATTGAAAAAGAAAATAGACCAAACTGAATATTACCATTTTTCCCAGCCACTAAATCTGCAATGAGTGGAAGAGCTATTTGATCAAAAACTGCCTTTTGTGAAGCATATTCATCAAATACTTTCTGGAAAGTGTACTGATACTGCAGGGGGGAAAGTATACCACATGTTAAGATTATAAAAACTAAACAACTATAAACATTATACATAATTAACAAAATAAGTTTATGATTTAACAATTTATTGAATTTTTGTTTGTGATGTCTATTTTTAATTGTTTGAAAATGTATATACATTGTGAATTCAGTTATATACCTTTGATCAATGTTTGCAAAATTAGTAAAGATAAGGGGAATATCATGCATTAATGGCATGACAGGATCTAAACTAAAAATATGCAGCACATGAAACAACTAAAGCTGTAACAAGAGAACATTAAATTACCTCTTTCACCTGTCCATTCCTTGCAACTGCATTCTGCAAAAGAAAATGAGAATGTCATGCCATGCTGATAGTTTTAAACAGCAGGAACATCACATGCAGTGCTTGTGCAAATTTTATGGCAATGAAGAAAAAAATTAGAAGAAGGTCCACAGTGATTTTTGTCACTTTTAGAAAAAAAGCAATGGCTTTTTAAATTATTAATTTTATAATAATTGGTATTAAATGTTTAAAAAAAACCATAGCACTCTTATTTTACACAAAATTTTAAAACAGTTAATGAAGCTGCTAATTATACTTAATAAATTGTAACATTTTAATAACAAACAAAAAAATAACTTGAAGCATGTCTAAAAAAAATTAAGATAAATGTAAAATATCTACAAATAGCTCGCAATAGTTAGGTGGTGGTGTCATAACAAGATGAAATGAATTATATTAACATAATTTTGAAGACAGATATCATGCAGCATTTTGAGAAACAATAATAAAAAGAATCTTATTTGTTATATGATTGATAGCTTCAAATCAAGATTAATATTTGATTATATTTTTGTTTAACTGAAGCACACAATTACAGCTGTTAAAACCATCTGATCTTTAAAAAATTTTTTAAAAATTAGCTTAGTGTGAGAAACTAAATAGACTATCTTCCTTCAATACTTCAATTTAAGACACTGTCAACCTTCTGAATTTACAAGATTATATTTTCATTTAAACATACAGAAAAGGGGCATCTTATAATTCTGCAAATGTAAAAGCTTACAACTTAATTACTCAATAACCAAATTTAATAACATGGTGAAATGTGTACATAAAGTTAAAGTGAGTTAAGAAGATACCTCTGGGGGAAGAAGCTGAACAACTGTTTCATCAATTGGCTTTACACATGGCGGCTCATTTGGATCATCCAGAGGGCGTAGTCGACAATAAACCTGGAAAGAAATGTTACAACATTAGCAGAACAGCAAGAGAACTATATAAAATTTGAACTAACTTAAAAATCAGACATGATAAACCACAAACTCAAAAAGCTAATAAATATATTAAATCAAGATATCTATGTGAAGCAAAACTAACAGATCTTTGGGCAATAGTAATTTATTAATGGAATGAGCTTTGGCACACATGTTGCCAACTGAGCACTAATTATACTACTATGATTGTAAAAGTTTGCATTATGTATAAAATATTTACCTCCACAGGTTCATACTGATATGGAGAGTTTGTCTGTTTTCGCTGCCTTTTTCTTAAAGATGAAAAACAATTATTATAGAACAAAGTAAGGCATGATATACATGTAATAAAGGAGTAAAATGTATCTTTCTGACCCAGTTTCTGTAAGTTTACAAAGTCTGGGTCAAAAATTATTAGGTCTATAAGCTAGACCCTCCTCCCCCAAGCATACCACTGGTTATGTAAATATATAGGCTATTAGTTTTAAAATATTGGTTGTATTCTTCTTTACACAACAAAGATAAATTTCAGACCACATCTGAAATTTCAATACTAATTCCAAAAATTCATCAGTTTAATGATCTCTGCAACAACAAAAACTAAGCATTTAATAGGCCTAAATATGCTTGAACTTGCATTTATTATTTTAAATCGCTTAAAATAGGTTGACCCTATTAAGACACATGCCTGTCTAGCCTGGGGTCACTATTTAGACCTGGGGTTCCGTTACACATCAGAAGAATATATATTAGGCGTGCCTATATATTTAGTAAATATGCCTATTAAAATGTAGGCTAAGGGTCTACCCATCCTATTGAATAGTTTATCAATTATCATGCATTCTGTTTGATGTAGGCCTAACTGACTTTTCTTGTTTATTTGATTTAATTTTGATTATTAATAGAATCCATCAATTTTGATTAGGCCCAATTAATTAGATAGGCCTACATCATTATTACTATTATGATCAGTATTTTCTTTAAATAACTAGATCTAGTCTAGTTACTAGAGGTCTAGTAGTCAGAAACAGAGTGGCTAAACACTTCTGGGCTCAGCAGAGTACTTAGAGTGGTCAAAATAATTTGAACTCACTAAGACTCACTTCAACTCCAGAACAGTAGATCTCGATTCTATACCCAGATTGAGCAGATTGGTGTGAGATTATTCAGATTAAGACTTAAGATTACTTAAGAAGTTAACTTAAGATACTTAAGAAATTTAGAATCTAGAAATTTTCAGTTAAGATTCACCTGTCCTGAGTGGCTGAGAGATTTTTTTTTTAATTTATTAAAATAAATCCGTAAAATCAGGCCTCTAGAATAGATCTGAAATCTAGACGTCTAGATTAAGGGCCATAAAATGTATAAGACTAGATCTATCAAGTTTACTTTAACTGAGACATCCTGGACCCTACAACAGTTTATCTATATATATAATTCTCTTCTGGGAGCCGTTAGAAAACAAGCTGCAAACGCGCGCCTTGCAGTCCCCTCTCTTCCTCTCTATCACTACCACCCCCCCCCCACTCACATGGTCAGGTGAGTTGTAGTTCACGCTAAATGTTTAGTTTGGTGACGGCTATTAGGGGCAGATCACTCAGTTTGAAACTATTTTAAACTTAGAGGAGGTAACTAAGAGGAGGCTGCTTTCACGGGGGGGGGGGGGGGGGGGATGGGGGTTTAGTGTTTTAAAGCAAATATTTTCAGTGGCAGCATTGGTACTGTCGAATTCACAAATTATGAATTACTGAAAAGTAGAAAAAACAACTAAATAGCGGCGTATGATACACCGCGTGTCGGCTCGTTAGTATTAATTCTCTTCTGGGATCAGTTAGAAAACAAGCTGCAAGCGCGCCTTTGCAGTCCCCTTTATTCCTCTCTATCACTACCACCCCACCCCCACATGATCTGGTGAGCGGTGTTCACTCTGTTTACATTTTACAATCATAGAGACGGGTTTGGTGACGGCTATTAGGGGCAGATAATTTAGTTTGAAACGATTTTAAACTTAGAGGAGGTAACTAAGAGGAGGCTGCTTTCACGTGGGGGGGGGGGGGGGGGGTTTAGTGTTTTTAAGCAAATGTTTTCAATGGCAGCATTGGTACTGTCGAATTCACAAATTATAAATTACTGAAAAGTAGAAAAAAACAACTAAATAGCGGCGTATGATACGCAGCGGGTCAGCTCGTTTTTAATAAATAGGCTCTGTTTCGGTGACAGTCGCTCCACCTTTCGGCTCGGCGATGGTGGAAGTGACATTTTTTTTAGTTGACTGCGAGTGAACGGTCGAGTCGGTTAGCGACGCAAGTTTTTTAAATTCTAATTATTATTGACAGTGGTAGATCTAATTACTATTAAAAATACATACTGAGACTTCATTGCAGAATGCGTTTAGCAACTACTGCATCAAATCAACATAAAGCACGAATATATCCAGCTGTTTATTAATATATTTACAAAGAAAAAATTGGTGCGGCAACTCCATACAAAAAGTATTCATCAAGCAAACTTCCGGTTTTTGAATTTTGTGCAAGAAACGTCCAATCAGTGATCCGCATTTTTAGTTTGGCAAATCTAGATCTAGATCTAGTATTAATTATTAATCCTAAACTATAAGGCAAGATAATGACTAGGTAGTAGGTTTCGCTTATAAATAAATCTAAATACTGGAGTTTCAATATAAGCATATATTTTTAAAGGATCGGAGAGCTTACATCTAGGCCTAGTCTGATATACTGTAAAATTTAAAAATACGTATAACGTCACGCGCTCCGTCACTCTAAGGAACCTTTTTTTTTTTTTTTAAAGTTTCAAGTATGATACTACAATAAATCAAAACTCTTACGTTTGTATAATTCTGTCTGTTTTGACTTTTTCCCCTATGGGGTAATCCTTAAAAAGAAATGAATGAATTTAAAAAATATATATGGGGTCGTCCATAAATGACGTCACACTCGTAGGGGGGAGGGGGGGGGGGGTGTCCAAATACTCTATGTTGACAGAGGTCTGACAAGATTTTGGAAAAATATCGATGTTTTAAGAAAAATTCAACAGCAATTTTGAGCCGGGTTGTAGGCTGAGGCGTGACGTCATTTTAAGGGGGGTCTGGCTTTTTGTGACGACGTGTGACGGAGGGGAGGGGGAGGTAAAAATCGTCAAAAAAGCATGACGTCATTTATGGATGACCCATATATACATACGGAAAGTTAAAAGACCCCTACACGGAGCAAAATATATGTTTTTCTTTTTACTCGTTTCCTTTTCTTTTTACCCTACTCTCTGGGGAGGGGGGGGGGGTATGCTTCCGAAGAGATGCTTGAAACGCTGTTCATCAAAAAGAAGTTATACTTCTGCCTATATAGAGTAGCGTAACAACGAGAGGTCCGCATCGGGTAAGCCATTTAATTTATGGTTGGCATCCAATCGACAACACCGTAAACATTACGCTAAAAACAATGTGTTACCCACTAAAAATTGTAGGGGAGAGTGGTGAAACCAAACTGAAAATCAATCTTTGTTGGGGGGGGGGGGGGGGTGGGGACTTGAGAGGTGACGCCATCTATTACCAGACATTGAAACCCCAACATCTCCATTACACTTTGTAATAATTTCGGTTGTTGTTGGGTTTTTTTTTCAACGGCGTTTACTAAAGCAATAAATAAGCTGGATCAAAATTAGGTAGCTAATAAATTACTAATATTGGTCAATGTTTACAGCAATGAACAAAAGCAGTGTTTCTTTCAGACATTTTTCTCCGGATGTAATGCGCAACTATCTTTAAAATGTTTTTTGTGAGCTGCCAGATTGTCTGCTCCCCTATGTCTATGCCATTGCCACAGGCATAATAACGCCCTACTTGTAGAGGCTGAAGAAATTAAAAATGAAATGTAAATAAATTGCTAATCTGTAACTAAAGGCCGACAACCTGTAATAGCAGATTTAAAAAGGAAACAAAACAAATTAACGGTTATCTCCCCTTTATAGTGAAGCGAAATTTGAGCACCATGCTAATGTTATTCAACTATACTGTTCATCTAGGTTGATAGACTTGAAACTTTAATCGGTCATCAAATGTCCTTTTTTTATGAAGTCTTCATTTTTTCATTACACAGTATATTTTATTATAAAACGTGTCGCCTTATCTTGCTGAAATATTCTTTTATTTGCGGTATTCTTGATTTTAGTTAGCGGTCATGTTTTTATTTGTTGTGCATGGAAAAAACACTGCCCCCCCCCCGCTACAAAAAGTGATATCACATTATCTACCAGCCTCTCCCTCAGCACACGTCGTAACAATATTATGGACCCCCCCCCCCCCCACGAGTGGGACGCCATTTATGGACGACCCCAGGAAGAGATCCGACATTGATTAATCAAAATAAAATGAAAACGGAAACAATCAGTGTTTCTTCCAGACTTTTTTCTCCGGGGGGGGGGGGGGCACTTGAAATTTTCGGGGGGGGAGGGGCGGTAGACTTTTTTCGGGGGGGGGGGGACACTGTCAAAAGTATATATTTTCTATATAAATTATATAAATTTCATTTCGAAGAGATGCCTGGAAGAAACTCTGGAAACAATGAGAAATAGCCGACCATTGCCACCAAAACAACCCTAAACCTTGATCTCTGGTGTTAAAAGTGACACACCCATCTTCTCCCTCGCTAACTCTCCTACTGCTAAGTACAGATTGTTAATAGAACCTTCATATAGACCAGGGGTCGGCAACCTTTTGAGACGCAAGAGCCAAAAGTAACAAACTACAAAATTTCCAAATTTTTAAAGAGCCACTAACCTTTTTATGTGCACTTCGCTAGTGTAAATCAGAGGCGTAGCGACCCTTCCCGGCGCCCGGGGACAAACTTTCAATTTGGCGCCCCCCTCGGGAGCAAATTCGATTTGCACCCCCACTCAAACTTTCGATTTGCACCCCCCACCTTCTCAAACTTTCGATTTGCACCCCCATCCCCTCAAACTTTCGATTTGCACCCCCCCCCCTCAAACTGTTTATAATGCAAAAATGCAGCTAAAATGACATTTTAATTTGTTTTTACAACCCATTTTGGCGCCCCCTAAGGTCGGCGCCCGGGGACATATGTAGGCCTACCCCCATCGCTACGCCTCTGGTGTAAATCACAGTTGTGGGGCCTAATGCCATATTATACGCTCTACTCCACCTATTCTCACTTTTTATTTTGGTTAAATTTTTTTTTTTTGTTACAGTATAATATGAGTTTTGAAAATAAAATAATATAATTATCATGGAACTGGAGAGCCGCAGGTTCCCTACCCCTGATATAGACCAACACTAGGTGGTAAACAAGTGAATATTTTATTAACTAGATACCGGTAATTTAAGTGTCAGTCGATACTCCTATTCCCAATGTTAGCCTATCAATTAGAGTGAATAATTATTTAGGCTATCAAATTCTGAATGTTAAAAATTGTAAAATAGGCCATTTGCCAAGCCAATTTTTATTGTCGGTCCTTAAGGCAAGTGGTATAAATCTGAACCTTGCATTCTCGGGGTTCAAAATTACATACCAGATACAGAGTAGCGGTTTAACAGAGTAATATATTAGCGTGAGTCAGTGGCGTAGCGAAGTCGGGTGTCACCCGGTGCGGCACTTAATGGTGTCACCCCCCCCCCCCCCCCCCCAGAGGCGTAGCGAGCCTTCCCGGGGACAAACTTTCAAGTTTTCGATTTGCACCCCTCCCCCTCAAACTTTCGATTTGCACCCCCCTCCCCTCAAACTTTCGATTTGCACCCCCTCAAGTTTTTCTCTATATACTTTGCTATTTTTTGCCTTGGTGTTACCCCCCTAAATGGTGTCACCCGGTGCGGTCCGCACCCCCCGCCCCCCTCGCTACGCTCCTGGCGTGAGTGCTCCCACGTTAGCCTCATCCCCTTCTTTACTCCATCCATCTAAAAAGTCATCACCGTGCCCATCTTCCTCTTATAAATGTTCTAACGTCAAGAGGCCTATGCCTGTAATTTTTTATTTTGATGGTTGTTGATTTTTTTTTTTCATTTTTTTTTTTTTCATTTCACACAAAAATAATTAAAATGAAACTACATTTCGTATCGCCTATGCTTTACTTTTAGCCACAACACTCGACGAAATAACATTCGGCGAAACAACATTCGTCGAAACAGTTCTGTGCCACTCAGCGCCACAGTCATGCTAGGAGCATAGTCCAAGACTAGTCAATGCAAATCATCGCCGCTATGATATCGATTCATACCCAGAATCACTGGTCGAGCCTTGTTCATTGTGAAGAAACTTGTTAGATGTGTGAAATATTGTTTGACCGTCTAGTACACAAAAGATAGTTGAGAAAAAAAATCTTATAAAAATCTAAACCATAGTTTTATATTGAAAAAATACCAACCTATAAATTACTATAAAAGTTGGATTGATGATTTTTGAAACCTTTTATTGGAGATCAATAATGAGCGTCCCCTTTGAACTGTGCGTGTGTGTATGTGTGTTGGGCCCCTCTCGCTATTCATGTCAGTGGTTCTCGGTAGATCAGGCTACGGCAGAGGGTTCTCATGTAGGACACAGGTCGGGTATCAGGTTATAAAGTGGGACGGGGTGGCTTAGCGGTAGAGAGCTAGACTGCTAACCCGAAAGTCTCGAGTTCGTATCCGGGCCAGTAAAACGTCCCTGAGTCCACTGAGCTCTGATGGGTACCTAACTTATGTTAGGAAAACAAAGGCGGCTGGGCATAGTGATGACCACACTATCCCTTCATATCCCGAGGTATCTGAAACCGATGAACTCTACTTCATCTGCCCCGCGTGTCTTTAAAAATGGACTTATGGGAAACACACCATAAGTAAAACTATTGATTTGTTTTTAAAAAGTGGTTTATCAAGTTTTTGAAAATTCTTAAAATAGTATGTTCAGTAACCTATAATATAAAGCACACACCCCTAATCAACACCATGCAAGTTATTATTAGATTCTTGCACTTCTTTGTACCAGGATATCCGTCTTGTTGCTTACAAACTGTGACTCTCCTGTTTCACACAAGTAAATAAACCGATCGTAGAATATTATGTCTCTCTATGTCAACAAACAAAGGTGGTCGAGTTTTAGGGAGCACAGCATATCTACTCTTCACTTAGGTCAAGCTTATTATTATAAGATTTTTTTATTGTCATTACATTACATTTTTAGTATAGGTAACCTTTAAAGAGTTGCTTTGGTTGACCTTTCATTGAATATCGTAGTAATGTAGATCTACAGATTAGACGTAAATGAATTAGATTTTTGTATAGATTTTACTCAATATATAATATAATATATACTACTGTTGTTGTTTTTTTTTTTTTATTTACTTGCTACCCTTTTTTATTACTATTATGTTTATTAAAAATGTAGGCCTTATGGTTATGGTGGGGGGGGGGGGGGGCTTGAACTTTTCGGGGCAGGCGGAATAATTTTTTTTTTAAAGTATGTCTTCTATATAAATTCTTTTTTTGTCCGGGATAGGGGTGGTGCGGTAGACATGCTTCTGGGGGTATGGGGGGGGGGGGGGGGGGGTCATCTTAAAGAAGTCGCTATACCGCCCCTCCCCCCCCCTCCCCCGAGGAGATGCCTGAAAAAAAAACACTGCTTATTGTTCTATTAATCTGCAAATGGAACTTTAACTTATGTTTACACAATGTCTATCGTGTTTGAAAGAAATAAAATGAGAAGGGTGACATTTAAAACAAAGTGCGTTGTTGTCTAAGCTCTAGCAACACTCTACACTATACATTCTATAATTTTGCTAGACATCACAGAGAAGGTATTTAAAGTCACCATCTCTAACTAAAACATCCTGGACGTTGTTTTAATTTGCGAAAATTTGATAGTTCATGTTAGGCCTAGATCTACATTGTGCAAATCTAGATTTCGATCTAAAAAAAAAAAAACGCGCCCAAAACACCGTAGGCCTAGGTCAATACAAATTTCGTATTTGTATTGCCTCCAAAACTTAAGTTGTTCTAAAAAACAACACCGGAACTTTGATCTAAATTCTAGATCTAGATCTCTCTAGATCTAGAGATCTTGCACTATTTACTTTTTCGGGGAGAAGTCAACGGCAACGGATAGGTTAACTTTAGCTTGCTAACTTGTACTCTAGATCTAGAATCTAGATCTAATAATAAGTAGAATATAATTAATCGATGCTAGATCTAGTCTAGCTATAAAGTTATAAAGTATAATAATATTATCTTATTAAGATAATTAAGCTATTAGATCTAGATCTAGAATCTAGATCTAGATCTAGAATCAAGTATTAAAATTAATGGTAATCTATCGTTTTGGGTACGTAAAATCGGCCGCGGCTATTAATGTACGAAAACGTTACCTCATTGTCAAGGCTGTAATAGAAGTATATTGTAATATGTTTGTGTCAAATATTATAGATAAATGAATAATAAACCTAAATCAATGGCTAAATATATCAATATAGGCCAGAAATTAACTTTAAACAGCTGTGTCTGCAAGCAAGATTTGCTATATAAACAGCAGCCATTTGTAAAATAGAGTAACTTCCGCCTGAATCTCGCGCTATATGTCTATAAAAATAAAACTTTAACAAGATGGCTGCTATAGTAAATGAGCGTGGTTGCATCTGTTGGAAACATCGCTGGTGTTCATTTATTACTGAGAAGTTTTAATTCAATTGATTAAAAACAGGTACATAAATGAAACAAGGAAACATTTTTGTATTTTTCAAAACATAAATCCTCCTCAAAATGTGAAATAATTATTAAAATGTAAGGAGTCACCTGTTTTTCACATTACTAGTCGCGGCCGATTTTACGTACCTAAAACGATAGATTACCAAATTAATTATTAAATAGATCTAGATCTATGTATAAATAAAAATAATGAATGAGTTTCATGAGATCTGTTTAGTTTGAGTTTAGTCTCAGTTTAGAATAGTTTAGATCTGGAATAGATCTATCTATTTAGATCTATCTCTACGACTATGAGTAGGCCTACTATGACGTGCTTAAATACTAGGTCTAGATTCTAGTTCTATAATTCAAATTTAAGTAGCTCTAGACTCTAGAGTACTCTAGAATCTAGATCTAGATTAGTCTAAGTACAAGTAGTCTATTCTATTTTTTTAAATTTATTTATTATTTAGAAAAGATACAGATCTAGATCTATAATATCATCTAGATTCTAGATCTATCTGGTTTCTAAACCAGATCTATCTAGCTCTACATTATGTGGATCCACCCAACTCTCATGGGTACCTTACTCACTTTTTAGATAAACAAAGGCGGCTGGCAATAGTGCTGATCACACTAATGACTAAGTCATTGAAACAGAACTCGAGTCTCTGTGTGCAAGATCTAGATTCTAGATCTAGAATATCTAGTAAATAAATTCTAGGTTCTAAACTAGATCTAGAATCTAGATCTAAATCTAGCAAAAAATAGTTTACATTACATTCATAAATCAAAAATGATACAATCATTAACAGATTTTAGATCTGTATGCATTGGTCATTGGTAGTCAGAGGCGTAGCGAGGGGGGGGGGAGGGGCGGGGGGACATATGTCCCTGGGCGCCGACCTGAGGGGGCGCCAAAATGGGTTGGAAAAATAAATTGAAAGCTTGCGGGGGGGTGCAAATCGAAAGTTTGTCCCCGGGCGCCGGGAAGGGTCGCTACGCCTCTGTTGGTAGTATTTACTTAATAAAAACATTACTCCAATCCTATTTGCAACTAGATCTATCTAAATCTATCTTTTAAAAAGTTAAATGCCGCCACAAATATTAAAAATTGTATTAATAATTTTGACAGTTTGCCAGTCAGTGGTTCTACTGCATCTTTCTCAGATTAGTTACACACTTTTTTTTATTGAAAGACTTTTTCTATTATTGTATAAATCGAAATAGAATTATATTTAATTATAATGTTGGTGTTAAACGTGAATGAAAATACGTATTTAAAAAAAATATTATAGACTAGATTCTAGATCTAGTTAACTATTGGATCGTGAGTTTTTCTTAACAGACATTATTCGTATTAGATCTACCACTAAACTTGTAATATCATTCAACAACAGGATATCCTTTCTTCTGCAGAGAATCAATGAAGTGTGCCGTATCTGAATAACGCCATACATTTTCCAACCCACTTTCCGCAAACCCACACACACAGCCCACACTCGCTCATAGATCCCACTCCGCCGTCAGTGAACAGCGGTGCTACGACCTCGGTGTAGTCCTGCGTGTTGGTTGTACGTAGCCTAGTGAACCTCTGTCGGTCGGTTGCTTAGCTGAGATGTAGGGCCACCTTTGTTGGGTTTTTTTAATACACCAAACTTCATAAAAATAAACACACCTAAAAATGGTTCGGCTGATGCCAAAATTCGCATCGAACTTTTATCTGTACCTTATACGAACGGCTGAACCTAAGGTTCCTCCTAAGCTAAGACCACTATGGGAACATCCAGCAGGTAGGCTACGTAGTATAATTTATATTTTATTATTTTAATTAATATTGTCAAGTTTTAAAACAGTGTTTTTTTTTAAATTTCATATTTTAACATTAATTTTAACAATTTTTTTGTTATTATTGTATTAATAACTAAGTGTTTACATTTTAATTTAACATCTAACTTCACTTTGAGTTATTTTTATAATTAAAAAAAAATATAATAAAAAATATATAGATCTAATATGACCGGGAATTTTTGTATTCACCCTTTTTTTAAATTACAAAAATTCATTGTTCACTCGAGCGTTTCCTCTAGTCTTAATGATATTGCCAGTAACTAACTTTATATTAAAACGTGTAGTATAAATAAACCCGCTAAACCTACATGCACAGTTCTATTGCATCACCCCCCATTGGTAAAACAACACTCATGCACACACAACCTTCGCGCTTACACCAAGCCTGCGTTTCACTTGTTTTTCATTCAAGCAGTCTATGACGTTGGCGCGACATATTTTTAGACAGAAGTATGCTGCGTTAATAATAGTCTAGTCTAGGAAGTCGCTATATTCAGACTATACTGTACTCTTAAAGCGTAGCGTTAAAATAAATGCCAACGTTTTTCCTCATCAAAACTGACGGGCCTTGTTTAGCTGTGTCAATAACCGTAGCGTTGTGCTGTCTTGTTTATTTTTTATTGTAAACAGTTTGTGTTATGCCACGCTTGTTACTGTTTTCAATCACACTATTTTAAATCTCAGGGTTGATAAGACACTAACTGTTGATACAAATAAGTCATGTGTTTAAGTAACCCCAACTGCAGTGAATTCAGTTGCTATTATTATTGAATATAATTACAAATCAAAATGTCATTACAGTAAAAATTAAACCGGCTAACCTCTTAATATTATGATAAAAAAGCTAATACAATGAGAAGTGATTACGCTATTTACAGTAAAATATAACTGGCTAGCCTGTCAAACAAGTCAAAGACCAAAGTGCAAAATACACAATTTATAAACTTCTTTTATTACTTAATCATATGAATAGATTGTCAACTAGACGTCTACTGCATATACGAAAATGGTTAGATAAGTATTTATCAGGGCAAAGTGCAATCTTAAAGTTACGTAAAGTGTGTTTCACTTTTTAAAAAATACCGAACCATAATAGCGACATAGGCCTTCAATAGAAAAAAGAATAGCATTCCTTTCTCGACAGTAGCTAGCTTAGAAATGCAATTAACTTTTGTACTTGTCTGCCATGTTGTTATTGCTAGTCTTTTCCCGAGATAACACTAACAATAATACTTATGAAGACGTAGGGTCGAAACATTCATATATAGTGATATTACTAACAATATTTTAAAATGTATATACTGATGTATCAATACTCTTGATAAGCAATGTATCATTTAACTGAAGATTTTTTCCAATCGTTAATTTAGTTAAGATGTTTATATAGATTAGCCTACACCTATTCAACATTGTATGCATACATTCTCGTCACAAATCTGATCATGCTAGGGATCTATATCGTACTAGGACCAGCCAGTGTACTTTGTTCTCGGGGTCATAGGGCACTTCACCCAAAAAATCATCTTACTAAACCAGAGATTAGGCAGCTTTTACTTCAGTGTGTTAAAAGCTATCTTTCTGACACTTTTCTTGACCCATTATCTCTAAAATGCTGATGTAGTCTTATATATGGTAGGCCTATGCGTGTGTTGGATGAAATATGTATTTCACACATTAAAAGCTCTACACGAATTACATAAAACAATTATAAATAATTGAGTTCTATAGGCCTATAAACTTAAAAGTATGTGTTGTTGTTACACATGAACAACAATAGCAAAAGTTGTTGTCTATACCACATAGAAATGTTAATTAAAAAATCCCACCATCTAAGCTACTAAATACCATGTGACCTAGCTCTTCTTACTTAAAGCAATTAAAACATGGTCACGTTTGTCCTTTATTGTTCGTTACGCCGTGGTGTAAATTTATGAGTTCCAGCAATTCGATCAAGCTGGGGTTTTTTTTTTTTAACAATCTTTGTTATGTGAACTGTTGTAGGCTTACACCTGTCTATGAAATACAGGTCTAACTCACGGCATGCAACGATAGATAGCTAAGCCTACACTGTTCTTATCTGTCAAATTTTTGTTTTGTTTACAACAGCACACGTATATTTTTTTTTTAAATGAACACTATAAATGTTTTATTAATGTGTTTTTTTTCTCCCCTTTTTTTAATTACAGGTCCTAAAACAATATTTTTCTGGTCTCCGTTTGCTAAATGGGTAAGCACATTCCTCGATACTTGGCCTAGTTTTGTCTCCCTTTATTAAAATATCAAACAGAGCTAGCTAATCAATCAATGTCTGTTTTGATAAGTCCTTCTGTGATCGATATTGATATGCGATATTGTTAAACGCGTGTAGCCCGTCGTAAAACAATTATAGGACGTCGCTTCTCTCAAGGTGAAACAGGACATCTAGTCCGTGTATGTAAATCACAACACGGTTATAAAAAAAAAAACAATTTTTTAGATGTCTGTACAGCAGTTAGCAAACCCGTATAGAAATGTGTAATGCAGTCAGCAAACACGAATAGAAGTGTGTAATGCAGTCAGCAAACACGTAAAATGCAGCCGTTACAAACACACATCAGCGCCCCTGTTTACTTGTGTGCGTGTCGCTTACATTAGCACGCTACACAGAACGAGTATTGACCCGGTGTGCGAGTGAGTTATCGTGAGGGCGCGAGTCGTCCTTATCTCCCCTCTCTTTTCCTGAAAGGAAAAAAAAAAACGCCGCGTCTAATTTTAGCTGGTTGTGGGTTTCTAGGTCATAAAAACACTCTTTTTTATTTATATACACGTGTATTTTTGGCTTTTCAATTTGACTTCTCTAAAAATAGTTTCTGCTCATCAATACTGACGCTACACAAGGCGTCACAAGGAAATCGTTTTAACGATAAAATCCATTAACCTAATTACTATAAATTCTTATAAGTTATTTCTCTTTAAAAAAAAAGATTTTTAGCAAGATCGTGTCGCTTATTGGTTGGGCATTTTTCTCAGTCCACATTTGACTCTTATGTTTTTAAAAATATTCTACTAGTTGCTATAGTCGGCGTCACATTTGTATCGATGCTAAGACCGCTATAATTAGAAAGACAACGTTCTTTAGGGGTCGGCGTGGTCGAGTCGGTAAAGCTCGTGGTCTCGAACCCTCTGGCATAAATCAAACAACTGCTACCTTGTAGTTTGTTCTTGGCAAAGGCTATGGTAGCAAATCCAAAAAGAAAAGCAGGCTGAAATCGAAGTCAACGACTTATACGGAGCATAACAAGTTGACACTACAACTTAATTGTGTTATAAGAAATCCGTCCCAACCAGGGGCGGAACTACAGTGCCGCCAGACCCCGCAATGCGGGGGGGCCCTCGCCATTTAGGGGCCCAGAGCCGACCATTATACATTTTTTAATAGTTAAAAAAAAGTAAATTTTCTTTTATTTTTGACTTGATGGTTGTTTTGTAAAAAATTACCGTAGCTGCATTTGGATTATCTTTATTCTATAGACACCACCCCACGCTCTTGTATCGTCTTTTTCCCTTTGTTTTTAAATAACTGTGAAAGCCGAGTCTTTCTCCTACAATTAAACTTTAAACGTATCAAAGATAAGCAAATGTTCAAACCACTTCCATGACTTATTTCCCCTTTTTTTTAAATAGTCAAATAGGGGTGATCATAAGCTCCTTTTAATAGATTTGTACTAAACAAATTAAAAAGGAATTACTTCTCTTAATTATTATTTTTTGTATAAATAATTACTAAAGAATGATATTGTACAAAAAGAAAATGTATTGAAATGTATTAAATCAATAATATTTAAAACATTAATAATATAACTACAAAAAAAACATAAAAATAAACATAACACGAGACACCATTACTTATACAAAGCTTTCATGTTTTATATTATTTTAACCGACAATATGCTAAGAGGACTTCTATCAAAAATTAATTAAACTATTTTCACAAAACACACTAATGCACTTACACACATCACATGATGTTGAAAAAATTTTAAATTGATGTTTTTCAAATCACGAACAGGCCTGCAACGAGTATCCTATGTTCATATTTTGTGATTGTACATATATATATATATATATATATATATATATATATATATATATATATATATATATATATGTATATATATATATATATATATATATATATATATATGGTGGGCCTAAAAAATTTTTTTGCGGGGTGGCCCTTTTTTTCTAGTTCCGCCACTGGTCCCAACTCTAAAATTAAGAAAGAAAAAGTAAAAGAATAACGAAAGGGTTACAGTAACCCTTTAAAAAAAGAGGATGAGGTAATCGAGTTGTTTATAGATTGGGCTCTTCTCCAATCAACGCGAGAGGCTATCTGAGCAATGTAAGGATAGTGTGGTGAGGTACAGTTGTACCCATCCCGATAGCTCTTCTTGTGGTGGCTTGAACCTGCCCACAACACACAAATGTGACACATGGCTTGTCTGTGTTCGTGGCTATGGACATGGTAGAAGATGTCCCGTGGTTTGATGAACTATAGACGATGTTGGTGGGGCGCGATACGGCATGTACCCGTAGATACATGGACGTTGAAGTTAGAGATAGACGATAAAGATATGTTGAAGAGATAGTTGTTAGAGAGGGAGAAGTTAAAGAGAAAGATGTTCAATAGATAGACGATAAAGAGGTAGTTGTGAAAGAGGTAGGCGTTAAATAGGTAGACGTTAAAGAGATAGGTGTTCAATATGTAGTCGTTAAAAAGGTAGTTGTGAAAGAGGTAGACTTTAAAGAGGTAGATGTTAAATAGGTAGACGTTAAAGAGATAGTCGTGAAAGAGGTAGACGATAAAGAGGTAAACGTTAAAGAGATAGGTGTTCAATAAATAGACGTTAAAGAGGTAGTTGGGAAAGAGGTAGGCGTTAAATAGGTAGACGATCAAGAGGTAAACGTTAACGATAAAATGCGTGTGATGTTTACATCCATCTACGATTACATTTTAAAAAGCTGGGTGACGAATTGTCCAATAGCACTGTAACGTGGTTGTAATTGTGGGGGTGGGGGGGGGGGGTTCTCTATGCTATTACAATGGCGTAAGTCTAGTGCACATTGAATCGTCAACAGAATACCATACCACATTACTTGATATTGATTATTGTTGGCTTAAAGCCATGTATGTAATTAATTATTCAGTTAAGCAGCCATCTCGTTATTTCAATTCATTGCATATTCCCTTATTGTTTCAAGCTTGTAAAACAAACACTTTCTTTCCTTGCAGCTGCTGGTGATAGCAGGTCTTGGAGACATCTCTAGACCAGCCAACAAGCTCAGTCTCCGCCAGAGTTCAGCTCTATGTCTCACTGGTAATATTAACACGTTAGTTATTAGCTCAGTCTCAGCCAGAGTACAGCTCTATGTCTCACTGGTAATGTTAACAGTCATTAGCTCAGTCTCCGCCAGAGTACAGCTCTATGTCTCAATGGTATTGTTAACAGTCATTAGCTCAGTCTCTGCCAGAGTTAAGCTCTGTCTCACTGGTAATTTTAATACGATCAGATCTTTTGTTCGTTAGCACTCAGTCCTAAACTACAGTGACGTAAAGTAGACCATCACCCCTACCGTTCAATCGATGGATATGTAGCACCAAACTGCATTTGCGTAGCGAGTTCGGGTGTAACCCGGTGCGACACTTAATGGTGTCACCCCCCCCCCCCCAGAGGCGTAGCGACCCTTCCCGGGGACAAACTTTCAATTTTCGATTTGCACCCCTCTCCCCCCCCCCCAGACTTTCGGTCCGCACCCCCCCCCCCTCCCCCCCCCCCCCTCGTTACGCCTCTGCCAAACTGTGTCTCTTGCTACAAGTGTTCCGTTCAGACATTTTCTCCGAAATGGGGCAGTAAATATGTTGTATATTAAATCTGTTTTCTTCAATTTTGCCGGTGGACGTGCACGCATCCCCCCCCCCTTAACAGAAAAGATTCACGAAAGAAACTCTGGTTGGCTAGGTCTCGGAGAATGTAAACTACAATAGAAGAATGATTACATTTAAAGTTTTAGACCTAACACAGCAGATGGTTAACATACATTTGTTAAAACGTAGGTTGTATATATAGAGCTTAGCTGTCACAATCCCAGTGGTGTTACGTCATGGTTCAGCTACTTTCCACGCTTCGTTGATCTGTTACCTGTTCACTGTTTAACTTATGGGGTATGAACCGTGAACTTGGCAAGTTGGCTGGCCTAAATTATAAGCATAAACACTAATGTCGACATTCTTCTGTTGCTGAAGTTATGTTAAGGCTCTTATTGATTTACCGTACCCAGATATCCGCATAGCCTGGAATTTTAACCCTAAGGGTTAGGTAAGGGTTTGAAGTATCGATTCCGGTAGTGCTTGCTACCACGAATACGTTGTTTCGATTCTCGGTCCGGAAACGACGGTGGTTCCTGAATAGACAATAAGACAACTCTGAGTGATCGCTAAGATATTCTTGTTATTAATGTTATAGTTTTTTTTTTTGTTTTTTTTTTTGTTGTTGGGAAAAAAGGCCAAAACATTGTAGGTGTACATCAATCCTTTGTTACTACGGTTTACTAAAGTATGCAAACGAAAACATTGCTGCGAATGCTGGTTTAACGTTAGTTGCTTGAGCATATTGTCATTGATGTTTCGGAGGGAGACCCGGCGTTAATAATGATGTACAGGGAAATAAGGTAGAGCGTTCAACTGCTAACCCAAAAGTCTCGAGTTCGGATCCTGGGTTCGAGTCCGTAGAAAGTCCCTGAGTCCAGCCAGCTGTGATGGGTACCTGACTGACGTTAGGGAAAGTAAAGGCGGTTGGACATAGTGCTGGCACACTATCTCGACATAATGCCGAGGTAACTGAAACAGAGGAACTGAACTTCACCTGCCCCATGGACCTTCAGGTTTAAAATGCTAGGACTTCAGAGCAAATTTACCAAATCAGCGGTAGAGCCAGTGGCGTCGCTAGGTCGGGTGTCACCCGGTGCGGCACCTCATGGTATCACCCCCCTTTTTTTCTGTAAATTTTGAAGTTTGTGTCACCCCCCCCCCCCCTCTTTTTTTTGTTTCTCTGTAAACCTTGCAGTCCCCCCTCCCCCGTAATAGCTTTACCGTGTGCACATTTAATACTACTGATGGTTATCTATAATCGTTGTTAATAAAGCTGGGTGTAGCATTGTTTTCTCTTTAGTTTGCAACATGTTTACGTCATGGTGTCACACCCCCCCCCCCCCCATCCCTTGTTCGGATCGTCTTTATGTACTTAAAATACTTTTTAACTCTAACCATTCATTGTACTGACAAAAAAAATATTTATTCTAAATATGTTGCAATTTTTGTTGGTTTTGGTGTCCCCCTAAGTGGTGTCACCCGTGCGGTCCGCACCCCTTGCGCCGCCTCTGGGTAGAGCTAGGTATGACTGTTGTAGCAATAGGTAGCAAAAAAAAAAAGACGTCAATAGGTCTATAGACATGAAGTTAAATAGTAACCGTGTTGATCTCTACTTCCGTGATCAGACTGTTGCACACTTGGGGCTATGTAAAACATGAAACGGTACATACATGGTGTGTCGTCACCGGCCGTGTCGAGCTGTGTATACCTGGCTGTTGGCGTTAGTGACTTCATTTTTTTTTTCATATGTCCTTAAACGTCCTTGACGGGTAAGGGGGCGGTGATGCAATTCTTCTTTTATAACCCATACCTCAGCTAATTCTTGAAAAAAATACTTGGGGGGAGGAAGGGGGGGGGGGTTAGCCCATAAATATATTTTTCTATTCTGGAATTACCGTGCTACATTCAAGTATCTCCACACGATCATGACAACCTTTGTTTCCATGGTTTCTTTCGTGCATCTTTTCGGGTGCCCTTCTTCCCCCCCCCCCTCCCCACCACAAATGAGATAATAATAAGTATATAATTTAACCAGTGCCCGTCCTCTCGGAGAAAAAAAAAAGGCCTGAAAGATATGCGGATGTTTCGAATCCCTAAGTTCCGTTTAGCAGTAATATTTTAATGATACCATTACCAACGCCTAGATATAAATTATAAATCGTTCACTGACTTCATCAATTAATTTTTTTTTTTTGCTTAACAACAGCAAAAAAAAAAAAAAAAGGTCACAGTCGCCTGTTTGCTAGTTTTAAAAAATGACCTTGTCGTGTTGAATGTGTCACACCAACCTTTAGGCCTGTAAAAAAAACCCACCTCCCCGCGACATCCAGACACCCTTCTACAAGAACTGGGTGAACGTAGACGTTTGTTATTGTTTTTTTTTTCTTGTCGGATAAAAACACCTTGAAATATTTGGTTTTAGCCACTGTTGGCTTGATCGTACCTTGGTTCAATTCCTGGTACCTCGCGCCACTGGTCCAAACCAGTTTCAGTACGTTATAACTATATATATATATATATATATATATATATATATATATATATATATATATATATATATATATATATATATATATATATATATCCCTAAATATACAGGTCTTCGCAGGGGCCGGATTTACATAGAAAGATATAGCTTAGGGCCCCCACTTTATTGGAACCCCCCCCCCCCCCCAACCACCACCACCACCGAATCAGCTATAGTTATGCTTAAATACACTGCCTCATTATCTGTCGCAATGAAAACTCAGTAGACCATAGATCAGATTCGGTAACCAAATAATATCTGGGCTTATGGTGGGGGGGGGGGCATATCTCAAGCTTAGGCCCTAATCAACTCTAAATCCGGTCCTGGGTATTCGGGCCTTAAACACATTACATAATAGTGGGTACCGGGATCAGGGGAGATCAACAAAATAAAGCAACCCTGTGGTTATGTGTATAGGATGTGTGGGTGGGTGTCATCAGATATGTGTGTGCATATACATAAGCATATACGGGACACACGCTTGATTAAATGCCAACTGGTCAGGTTTCGAGTGGTAACGTTTCGCTTCACTAGTTTTAGGCCTACTCCAATAGCAGAGTTAATTAGATCACTAATTGTCTTTATATTAGGAAACAATCCTCATTAGTCCTAGTCATCCAGATGAAGTAGAGTTGATATGTTAATGATGAGGGGAAGGTGTGGTCAATGCTTTGCCCTGCCGCTTTACCTTCTCTTACGTGAGTTAGTTGCCCATTAGAGCTGGGCGGACTCAATGGCGGTCTACTGACTTGAACCCGGAATCGAACTCGAGACTTTCGGGTTAATAGCCTTGCGCTCTACCGCTCAGGCCACGCCCCCCCCCCCCCCCCCCCCAATGTGTTTCTATTCCTTAACTGAATTTACCACTAACTTAAAAATGATATTCTTTATTTTAGAATAAATACTCTGTTGGGAGAAGTAGGCGGAGATTACATTTAAAATGTATATAATTTAATTTTCCCATTCTTACTTAAATGTTTATGTCATAAATCTGTATGTTTCAGGATTTATATGGTCCAGATATTCACTAGTGATTATACCTAAGAACTGGAGCCTTTTCGCTGTCAACTTTTTCACTGGCCTTACCGGGACCATGCAGCTCAGCAGAATTGCACAGTGAGTGGATCTATGTTCGTGTCGTTTACACGTGTGTTAAGACTAGCATCATTGATGCCAAAGGTTTATCTTTAACTTAGGTGTAAGAGGCGGAGGCTTAAAACTACTAGTTTTTGGTGTATCATTTATATTAATGTACTAGATAAATGGCCCGTTGAGGAAGGGTACAACGGGCGCTAGGCTGATAGTGCTGTCTCTTTTCTCTAAACTAAAACCAACCCACCCCCCACACACCACCCCCACCCCCCACCCCCACACACCACCCCCACCCCCCACCACACACCACCCCCCACCCCAACCCCTCACCCCCACACACCACCCCCTCCACACACCGCCACCCCACCCCCCACCCCCCCCAAAAAAAACATGTCTACCGTCCCATTCAACGAAATATAATTATATACTTTTTCCAGTGTCCGCCCCCTCCCAGAATATTCTACCCCCGCCCCCGAAAATTTCAAGTACCCCCACCCCTCTCCGGGGAGGAAAAAGTCTGAAAGAAACACTGAAACCAACCCACCCCCCCACACACCACCCCCCACCCCTACACACCACCCCCCCCCCCCACCCCGCCACCCCTCCCCCCCCAACCCCCCCCCAAAAAAAAACATGTCTACCTTCCCATTGCAAGAAAACCACTTTTTAGATTAGACACATTAATTAGGCTGTAATTTTATTATAGAGTATCGATGAGGAAATTTCTTTTGAGTTGGGGAGGGGGGGGGGGGGGGCTCAGACGTTCTTACGCGGGGGGTGGGGCTTCGCCCCTACCCGAAGAATTGTATGCAAGAAACTCTTCACGCAAACCATTTAGATTAGACAACATTTCCTTTTTTTCAATGTTTACGCGATAATCAATGACGTCATATTACTGTGTGCACTCTCTGGTTTGAGATTATGTTCTACTCTACGCTAAATGTGTCGACGTCATATTTCGTTTTTCGAATTACTGTGCATGTTTTTATTTTGCTTGTGTTTTCTCTAGAGCGTTCTTGTCAGACAGAGCGTTCTTGACAGACAACGAAACTATTATTATAGACTAGATAAATGGCCCGTTGAGGAAGGGTACAACGGGCGCTAGGCTGATAGTGCTGTCTCTTTTCTCTAAACTAAAACCAACCCACCCCCCACACACCACCCCCCACCCCACCCCCCACCCCCACACACCACCCCCACCCCCCACCACACACCACCCCCCACCCCAACCCCTCACCCCCACACACCACCCCCTCCACACACCGCCCCCCCACCCCCCACCCCCCCAAAAAAAACATGTCTACCGTCCCATTCAACGAAATATAATTATATACTTTTTCCAGTGTCCGCCCCCTCCCAGAATATTCTACCCCCGCCCCCGAAAATTTCAAGTACCCCCACCCCTCTCCGGGGAGGAAAAAGTCTGAAAGAAACACTGAAACCAACCCACCCCCCCACACACCACCCCCCACCCCTACACACCACCCCCCCCACCCCTCCACCCCTCCCCCCCCCAACCCCCCCAAAAAAAAAACATGTCTACCTTCCCATTGCAAGAAAACCACTTTTTAGATTAGACACATTAATTAGGCTGTAATTTTATTATAGAGTATCGATGAGGAAATTTCTTTTGAGTTGGGGAGGGGGGGGGGGCTCAGACGTTCTTACGCGGGGGGTGGGGCTTCGCCCCTACCCGAAGAATTGTATGCAAGAAACTCTTCACGCAAACCATTTAGATTAGACAACATTTCCTTTTTTTCAATGTTTACGCGATAATCAATGACGTCATATTACTGTGTGCACTCTCTGGTTTGAGATTATGTTCTACTCTACGCTAAATGTGTCGACGTCATATTTCGTTTTTCGAATTACTGTGCATGTTTTTATTTTGCTTGTGTTTTCTCTAGAGCGTTCTTGTCAGACAGAGCGTTCTTGACAGACAGCGAAACTATTATTATAGACGAGAAAAATGGCCCGTTGAGGAAGGATACACCGGGCGCTAGGTTGATAGTGCTGTCTCTTTTCTCTAAACTAAAACCAACCCACCCCCCCACACACCACCCCCACCCCACCCCCCCACCCCCACACACCACCCCCACCCCCCACCACACACCACCCCCACCCCCACCCCTCACCCCCACACACCACCCCCTCCACACACCGCCCCCCCCCCCACCCCCCCACCCCCCCAAAAAAAAAACATGTCTACCGTCCCATTCAACGAAATATAATTATATACTTTTTCCAGTGTCCGCCCCCTCCCAGAAAATTCTACCCCCGCCCCCGAAAATTTCAAGTACCCCCACCCCTCTCCGGGGAGGAAAAAGTCTGAAAGAAACACTGAAACCAACCCACCCCTCCCACACACCACCCCCCACCCCCCTCCCCACCCCTACACACCACCCCCCCCCACCCCTCCACCCCCCCCCCCCCAACCCCCCCAAAAAAAAAACATGTCTACCTTCCCATTGCAAGAAAACCACTTTTTAGTTTAGACACATTAATTAGGCTGTAATTTTATTATAGAGTATCGATGAGGAAATTTCTTTTGAGTTGGGGAGGGGGGGGGGGGGCTCAGACGTTCTTACGCGGTGGGTGGGGCTTCGCCCCTACCCGAAGAATTGTATGCAAGAAACTCTTCACGCAAACCATTTAGATTAGACAACATTTCCTTTTTTTCAATGTTTACGCGATAATCAATGACGTCATATTACTGTGTGCACTCTCTGGTTTGAGATTATGTTCTACTCTACGCTAAATGTGTCGACGTCATATTTCGTTTTTCGAATTACTGTGCATGTTTTTATTTTGCTTGTGTTTTCTCTAGAGCGTTCTTGTCAGACAGAGCGTTCTTGTCAGACAGAGCGTTCTTGTCAGATAGACAGACAGCGAAACTATTAGTATTAACGAGAAAAATGGCCCGTTGAGGAAGGATACACCGGGCGCTAGGTTGATAGTGCTGTCTCTTTTCTCTAAACAAAAACCACCCCCCCCACACACACCACCCCCACCCCCACCCACACCCCCACCCACACCACCCCAACCCCCCACCCCCCACACACCACCCCCCCACACACCACCCCCCCCCCCACCCCCACCCCTACACACACCACCCCACACACACACCACCCCCCACCCCCCACCCCCCACCCCCCCCCCCCCCCCCCCAAAAAAAACATGTCTACCGTCCCATTCAACGAAATATAATTATATACTTTTTCCAGTGTCCGCCCCCTCCCCGAAAATTCTACACCCGCCCCCGAAATTTTCAAGTACCCTCACCCCTCTCCGGGGAGGAAAAAGTCTAAATTAAAACCACCCCCCCACTCAACCCCCCCCCCCCCACCCCCACCCCCCTCAGACGTTCTTACGCGGGGGTGGGGCTTCGCCCCTACCCGAAGAATTGTATGCAAGAAACTCTTCACGCAAACCATTTAGATTAGACAACATTTCCTTTTTTTCAATGTTTCAATGACGTCATTACATTACTGTGTGCACTCTCTGGTTTGAGATTATGTTCTACTCTACGCTAAATGTGTCGACGTCATATTTCGTTTTTCGAATTACTGTGCATGTTTTTATTTTCCTTGTGTTTTCTCTAGAGCGTTCTTGTCAGACAGATAGATAGATAGATAGATAGATAGATAGATAGATAGACAGACAGCGAAACTATTATTATAGATGGGAATCAGCCCAATAGATACTCACATTCAGCCTACTGACCATGTCCCAAATATAAATATCAAAGTCCCCTTTTCGAACCTAACGGTCCATGGTAAAGTGAAGTAGAGTTAACCTGTGTCTGTGACCTCGCATATGAAGCCAACGATAGTACGGCCAGCTCAATACCCAGCAGCCTTTACTTTCCCTGACGTGAGTTAGGTACCCATCAGAGCTGAGTTGACTCAGGGACATTCTTCAGACTTGCGCCCGGATTCGAACTCGTGACTCTCGGCTTGTACTGCTAGGCCACGCCGTCCCTAACATAGGGCCTACTTTATATTTTTTTTAAAGCGAACACATTTTAAATTTTTATAGCCCTGCTTAATATTTGTTACATAAGAAGACTCCAGCAATTATTCTTCGGGGTGCCAGTTATATTATTGTATGGCAAGCAGATGAATAGACACGGTACACAGATTCAGCCTACTGCCCCTCTCCCATATATAGGCCTACACATAAGGCCAACCTTATATCTGAAAATATGAAAACCAACTTTAAAAGACATGCTGAATATTTGTTACATAAGCTTAAAAAAAACTTCCTCCATGCCAGTGATGTATTTTTTTTTTTAAATTGTAAGTACCCATTGGCGGGTTAAGCGTGCCATTCGACAAGCTGAAACTCTGGTCATTAAAATAAATTTTCCATTAATTATAAAGGATTAATGACATAATTAACTTTCTCCTATTGATTTGTTTAAGTCTTGTTATAGACCCTTGTTGAAGCCCCAACCCTTTTCCATTAATTCATCCAATTAATTCTAATCCACCCTAGACTTACAACGAGTAGCTAGATCTAACTAAAGTTGGCGGTCTGTCGATCATGGTTTCTCTATGTGGTTTATTAATAGCAGGGTATGGCTTATAGTTGCTATAATAGATTGACGACAGAAGCCTGTGGTTGTATATAACACGTTTAATTGGGTCTAACTACCACGATGGTAATACCAGAGAGGCCGGAAGGAAGTACTCAAGGGACATCACTCAAGATAACAATATAATAAATATAACTAATACAGAAGAGTGAGTTCCCTTGACCTCACAATTATTTCAATCTATTACATCCCTTTACCCTTAGAACACAATAACACATCTCTCAATAGAACAATTGATAGTATCCTAAAATCACCAATTATATTGTAACATGAACACTATGGTAGATTACATCCTTACAAACAATGTACAATATGCCACAACATAATCAAGATACAAAACAATAATGTCAAAGTCCTTTTGACCTTTAAAATCATAGGTCTAACTTATTTGGGACCTTGATTGTCCTGCTTGACCTTCTCAGTGGCT